GGAGGGAGGGAGATAGAGGCAGAGAGGGCTGCCTTGCCTCGATGGCTGCGCCTCGCTTGAGCCTGGGAGAGAGACTTCAGTACTTACAAGAACTCAGGACGATCCCTGGTGACAGCTGGGGAAATTACACACTTATGCCACGAATGGTTCCGATTCATTACTTTTAAATCCCCCAGCTGGCTAAAGACTTAGAAGAAAAGATGTGACAATCATTTGTGTCTTGACCCAGATGGGCTGTCACTCAAGGGCCACGAAAATCTAATGGGACTGGGCTGCTGGTCACAGAAACTGCTGGGCGCACTGGCAATTCTGCCGGGCTTTGCTGGGTGGTGGGAGGCAGTCTGGTGGGCTAGGCTGGGCAAGAGTGGCCATCCAGCCCTTATGGCTCATAGCACTTCTACCCAAAGAGAGAATATGTCATTAATTGTCCAACCTCCAGCCCAGCAGTGGGTGCCAGGATGGCTTCCATGTGCTTGGGGTGGGGAGGGGTTCCTGTAGACCCCTCTCGACTCCTGATGCACAGCCTTCTTCAGGGGCAAATGTGCCTCTGTGTCAGCTCTCCAGGGCAGACCCTGGTGAGGGCACAGGTCCTTGTTTTCTGGACAGAGGAATGAAAAGCAAGCATGCCGGCTGGAGCAGACGCTGAATTTTGGATGTTCGGCATCTGAACCTCCTTCCTATGTTCAGGGGATCTCCACTTTGGAAGGCAGAATTCTTGGATGCTGGCTTCTTTTGAGACAGGGTCTTGTTCTGTCACCCAGGCTGGAGTGCAGTGGTGCAATCACAGCTCACTACAGCCTCAACCTCACAGGTTCAAGTGACCCTCCCATCTCAGCCTCCTGAGTAGCCGGGACCACAGGTACACACCCCTGTGCCTGGCTGATTTTATTTCTTGTAGGAAGGTTCTCACATTGTTGCCAAGGCTGGTCTTGAGCTCCTGGGTTCAAGAGATCCTCCTGCCTAGGCCTCCCAAAGCACCAGGATTACAGGCATGAGCCACTCTGCCTGGCTGGATGCTGGTTTTTCTTTTTTTTTTTTTGCGATGGGAGTTTCACTCTGTTGCCTATGCTGGAGTGCAACGGCATGATCTTGGCTCACTGCAGCCTCTGCCAACCAGGTTCAAGCAATTCTCTGCCTTAGCCTCCCAAGTAGCTGGGATTACAGGTGCCTGCCAACATGCCTGGCTAATTTTTTGTGCATTTTAGTAGAGACGGGGTTTCACCATGTTGGCCACTCTGGTCTTGAACGCCTGATCTCATGATCCACCCACCTCAGCCTCCCAAAGTGCTGGGATTACAGGCGCAAGCACCTCGCCCTGATGGATGCTGGTTTTTCTCACCTCTCCCCTCAGCCAAGGCAGCATGCTTGCCCTGAGACCTTGAAGTGGCAGCTAGTGGCTGTTTAAAATTCCTTTTGGTGACAAGAAGCCTCTACATTTAGTTTCCAAAAGAGCAGAGGCAGTGGCCCCAGTGACAGTGTTCAGCCTTGCAGGTGTCTGTGGTGCAAGTCCCAGGGTGTGAACCTGGGAGTACTGGGGAGTGACATGGGATCATGATCTTGGTCCTGGCTGGGGAACTGCTTAGGCTGGTGACCATGTGACCTATCCAATATTCTTTTTTTTTTTTTTTTTTTTTTCCTGAGACGGAGTTTCGCTCTCATTGACCAGGCTGGAGTGCAATGGTGGATCTCGGCTCACCACAACCTCTGCTTCCCGGGTTCAAGCGATTCTCCTGCCTCAGCCTCCCGAGCAGCTGGGATTACAGGCATGCACCACCACACCTGGGTAATTGTTATATTTTCAGTAGAGACGGGGTTTCTCCGTGTTGGTCAGGCTGGTCTTGAACTCCTGACCTCAGGTGATCCACCCACCTCAGCCTCCCAAAGTGCTAGGATTAAAAATAGGCATGAGCCACCGTGCCTGGCCCAATATTCTTTAATAAACCTACTTTTCTGTTATTTGCAAATGAACTTAGATATAATGGCAGCTGGTGGCACAGAGATTAGAGCCAGTTACTGGGATTTCTCTTCGGCAAGTCCATCGTGGGTCTGTATCTGGAAAGGTCTTTCACAAAAAGGAGATGTGGAAGGTGCAACCATCCCCTCTTGCCCAATTCAGCTGCAGCTTGCCCTTGGCAGAGCCTGGCACCTCAGCTGCACCAGCTGTAGGGGGAAGGGGTGGTGGCCACCTGCAAGGGTTGGGCTGATGCTGCACAGGATCTGGCTCGGGATGCCAACACCCTGGTAGGCCAGTGCCAGGCACACCAGGGGAGCCCCTGGGGCTTCCTCAGGGGCCTTCAAACACAGAAGAGATGCTTTTCCACCCCCCACCCCCCGGACCAGGCTGTATTTCTGCCTGGCTCTCAGAGGACATGGCAGAAATGCTGGGATTCATGTTGGATTCATGCATTTTTCAGAAGAGTTTAAAGACTGCAAGAAGACAGAGGGACGAATTACGTGACTTTGGAGTTCACTGCTTCCGATTCCAGTCCTCCTAAGACGGCATTTTTTGCCAAAAGTGCACATATGTTCCTCTAAAGAAAACCATGGTAGTTGTCTGATGGAGTTTTTCCCTCTCTCAGGCATCACCAGACACACCTAGTATTCAACTGCAGCGCAGACACTCTTGCAGTTTCTGGTCTTCTCATTTCTCAGAGAATTCTCTTGGTAAGTCAAGGCCGTGGCTTTCCTAACTGGCTTTTTGAGGGACAAAGCAGGGACTGGGCTAAGAGGGCCACAGCACAGCTTTCTTTTCCCCTCACAGAGCCATCAGCGGCCACGTCGGGGACAACAGAAGGCATTCTGGGAACGCAGTGTTCTCACATCCTGCAAAGTACAGACCAGCGGAGCAGATGGCAGGGACTTCAAAAGCATAAGTAACCTTGAAAGATTATGGCGCAAAGGGCAGTGGGGGGTGTGGGGGGCTTTTGTACCCTTTGAAATCTTTGACAAGAAGAAAGCAGGAAAGACAAAAGCTATTTGCCAGCCTGATGCGGGAGTCAATAGAATTGATGGTTCTGCTGCAATTTCCAGCAAGGGTGGCCAAGCCGCCTGTCTTCTTGTCCAGAAACAAACGGCATCAACCACCTGCCAAATTGCGTTTGCTGCCTCCTGCTCTGGGGTCTTTTCTTTTTTTGCACAGGGAGGATTTTCATCCTCTGTTCAGGCAGCTGAGCCCTGATGATCTTTCCTCCCCTTCACCACCCACCAACTCACCTCCTAATGGAGCCCCACCCCTCAAGCCCCAGGGCCTGAAAGGCCGGGTCTCCCCCTCCTCCTCCCCTCAGCCCCCCACAATTCCAGGCAGGGTTGCCATAGGGCATATCTGGTTTCCTCTAAGCATGAAGCCTTCAGCCGGAGGAGGAGGGGGAGTTCACGTCACGCCTCCACATTTAGTCTTGGGCTGCTCCATCGGCCTTTTGCACTTTTTAGTGGATGGGTAAACTGAGGTACACAGTGGTCGGCTCACTTGCACAGGATCACAGAGGCACTGGCAGAGTGGCACGTATGCTGAATTCACCTCTGGTGAGAGCCAGGGACAGCAGCAGGTGGGGTGCCAGCTGCTTTTCAGCTGAAGTTGTTAAAAGCAATGCTTGTTCTTGGCCCCACCAGCTTGCCCTCCAAGACAGAACATGCTAATCCGGAGCCCCAGCAAAGGTTCAAATTGACTTCTTGGCTCCGAGGCGGAAGGCAGAAGTTCCTAGCTGCAGCCCCCCAACCCCCAGGCTCAAGGTGGCTGCCAGGCCACTCTCACCTGGCCTAGAAATCAAGTCCCAAGACCCCTCCCACCCCTACTCTCCCCCCATCCCCCCCACCCCCCCGCAGGTGCTGTCAGGACAGGCCCTCTGCCCTCAAACATCTGCTCCTCTCCTCGGGCAGGAGCCAGGCCTCAGAAGCCTGTTCTCCTTTGAAGCTGACAGCTTGATGCCTGTGGAAATGCGGTCCTATTTCAGCATTTCATTTTAAAGAGGTTTCAAAGGAGTGGCTGGAAGGCTCAGTGGAATCGCTTATTACGGCTCCTCTCTCAGCCCGCGGCTCAGTGGCTGAGCACATCATCATCATCGGCAGGCAGGTAACTGTTCTAAATTAGCACCTGGCTCATTCTGGAGGGCTCTAACTCTTCCTGAGCTTCTTCCAAGAAAAACGTTCATGGCTTAAACCTTATACCTTGCCCACATTATCTGTTTGAAATGATCCACCCAGCAGGTGAATTACATGTCGTCTCCAAGACTCTTGTTTCTGTCCAGCACATTTTAAAGACACACATGTGAAGGCTATGAAAATGTGACCCCTAGACCTGGGAGGCTGCGCCCCATGGAGCCTCAGGGGCAAAGGGAGCAAACCAGCTTGCGAGGGAAGAGCTGTTCTGGTCAGTGGCTGTTGTCCTGCGTGTCCCTCCAGGCCCACCACCACTGTGGCCCGCCAGGATCGGGAGGGAATGGGGTGGCCCCAGGGGGCAAGGGCCTGGTGCCATGCCTGCTCATGTGCCGCCCTCCTGGTCCCTGGGATCTGCCCCTCAAATGCAAGAAACGCATAAGTCCACTGTAGGAAGATAAGGAGACTCCGGGGGATTTTCCTTTACCTAACTACTCTGCACCTCTGCAAGGAGAGCGTCATGGTTTGGAAGAAATGGAAACAAAGGCACAGCATGGAAGTCCCCTGTGGCCTGAGCCTGCACACCAAGATGGGAGTGCTGAGACTCTTCTAGACTGCAAAGGGTTTGGCTCAACCTGAAGAGGACTCTGCCAGGAAGCTGTCAGGCATCTGAGGCCACCTGCCTCGCCTCTGCTTCAGGAATAACCAGCAATATTGCATCTTGGCTCTGAGGGGCACTGGGCATCACGATGCCCACTCAAAGCAGCTAGGGCACGGTGATCGCTTCACCTCCACACAGATGTCCAAGGTAACGATCCCACAGCCTTGTTTCCATTTCAGAGGCAGAGTCACCACCGTCTAGCCAATTGCTCTCAACCAGACAGAGCGCGCCTTCTGGCCATTGGGTGAGCATTTGTCTTCCAAGGTTTATTATTTACAGAAACTGTTTTCCCATTGCTTTAGTTTCCTTCCCCCAAGGTAAGACAATGCTTCAAGAGAAACTCCATTGCCAGGACCTTGGCAAAAGATTTGCCAGACCCTGGCACCTGACTCAACATTGCTCCCTTTGAACTGGTGCCTCTGACCACACCCACCAGAGAGTGAAGACCAAACTGCTTCTACCAAGAAGGTACAGGTTCCCAGCTGGCTCTGCTTTTCAGAGGGAAGCATTGTTTCCGCAGTGACACACCCGCTCAGTACCACGGCACTGCTGACTCGCGCTCACCCCGTGACGCCTCGCCCAGAGCATGGGAGGAAAGTATCCTCTGCGGGGCGCTCACCCTACACGAGCAGGGGCCACAGGCCTAGCCCTGAAACAACTGCTTGCCTGGCTACATGAGTCTAGCCTTTTTTTTCCTAGATTCCAGAAGATTCGGGATTTTTCCTAAGGCAAGAGAAAACCCCAGTTCATGGGAAGCCAGGATAAAAACCCTTTAAGACCATGAGCCAAGGTGAATGAAGAGGAATTTTCTAAGTCTTAGGGATAGAGAATTATGCTACATGAAGGCAGCCATGCCAGTACAACGCAAGGCTACGAAAGCAAGCAAGGCACAAGAAAACCCCAGTTCCACAGAGACGCACGCATTCTATTTGGTGAAGAGTTTGGTGCACAGACTGACTGCATCCTGTGAAGAGGTGGCCCTTGTCAAGGTCTGCTTGTCTGGCTGCTGCCTCCAGAGGATCTTTGCATCTTAGGATGTGGCACTAGCTCATCGAAACTATTTCTGTAACTCTCTGCAAGAGCCAATTTAAGCTGGCTTCTCAGTTCCCTCTGCACTCAAAAGAGACCAATTTCCAATTCCTCCTCAGAGTCCGTAAGACCAGATGCTGCGACAAATGTTCCAGCGAAATGAACCTAGAAAATGATCCCAGGCGCTCGCTGGGGGAGCAGAGGATTCCTCAGCCCTATCTATCTCTGAGGCTTTAACAGACATCAGTCACAGGGTGAGTGCTGCCGGCGTCCCCCCGTGAGTGTTTTTGATGGGACATGCTTTCCTGATAGCACAGGGGATCTTGGGGGGGAGGAGATAGAAGGTTCCCAGTAAGGCTAGGGGCCATGTGACAGATTCAGTGTGTGGTCATGTTTCTAGGCGAGACCCTACTGCATCTGGCAGCCTGAATTGGGCAACAATTCCTGCAGATGAGAAGCCACTGCTTTTGTTAGGTAGGTCATGGTCCCATAAGCCCCACTCGGTGCACTGTCATAAAAGAAGTGGCAGATTCCCGTGGCTTGGTCTTTCTCCAGGGTGTCCATGGCTCCAATCGACATCTGCAGTAGGAAAGGGCAGAGGGGACAATGAGCAGAGCCCTTACTCCCCGTCACGCTTCTGCGTGTTGGTGGAGGGTCAACCTGGGCAGGGTGAGGGTTGCTAGAGGCCCTTGTTCTCCTGAGAAGCTCCAATGCTGAAGGCACACAGCCAGCACTGCCAGGGGGGATGCCCCACCCCTCCTCTGGCCCCTGCACTCTCTCATCACGCACCCTAGTTTGCAGCTCTTCATTGACTATGATGAGAGGACCACTTTGCTGAACTTGGTTTGCATACAGGATAATGGGTTCGGCCCGGGTCCTGTGTTGCAAGTGGTCGTGTGTGGATAAAACCTGCACTGAGACAGGCCTATCCATCTCCAAAGGTCCTGAGATTTCCCAAGTGGCCACTGTACCATTCTCTAACCAACCAAGTGGTTGACATTTTTTCCCCATCTGTGAGGATATTTTCTTAGTTCAAGTATATTCTTTCCTATTGGACACAGAATCTCCAGCCTCAACAGATAAATGCCAGCCAACCTGGCTCCCTGGCACCCCCACCTGGTCCTGCAAGAACAGCTGACTGGCCATCTGCACGATCTGGTCCACGTGGATGATGCCCCCGATGCTGGTCATCTCCGTGTCCGAGAGCAGCGTCAGCACCATGATGGCCTCCACCAACAGCTGCCGGTACTCGGGCTGGGGCACGCGGTTCAGCACTGACTCGACGTGGACAGCAAACTTGATCTCATGCGGGGTCATCTAGCAAAGGGACGGGCAGGTGACCACCAGTGAGAGACAGGACAGAGGTAGCCCTATCACCAAGGAACCAAGGGTGACAGTATCACTGCCTGGGCTCAGGGCTCAGCACCACTGCTGCCCCCTTTCTGGTCACTGTCTGGATTCTGCTGGTGGCAGCCCTCAGAGCAAGAATCAGCCTGTCTGAGCCTGATTTATCTACCTTTCCCACCATGGACTATAGCTTCTAGGGAGCAGTGACCAATTCTGCCTTCTCTTTCCTCTTCATTATTCCTTGCAGCATAAAGCATGGTGCTTTGGGTGGGGGAAGACTAACAAAATTCACACTAAAAAGAATGACAAATCACCTAGGGACAATGACTGTTTTTAGTCGGAGAAAAGGGCCGAGAAGGCTGGCTGGGGGGCAGGCCAGTGTGGCGTGGAGATCGGCTCCTTTCTTTCAACACAGGTCTAAGGGGTGTCTGGCAAAGGAAAACAGCTTGCTAGCCCAGAAATGCTTATTCTCAGGTGAAGAAAAAGGCCGAGGCTCATAAATGCAGGAAAGACGTTTTGCAACATGTAAGGGTGAAGTCGCTAGACAGCTCCAACCTGCAAATGGCCTGTCAATTAGAATGAGCTTGAAAGAAGCACAGGAGCTCAGATCCGTGCAATGAAGCCCTTGCTGTGAACCCAGAGCGAGGCCCGTGCCTGCATTTTTCTCATCGTACCTCTCGGGTCGTCGAGGATGGGAGGACGTAACCATCGATGGAGAGACCGTGGCACTGGAGGCAGAACACAGCACATTTCAGATTCCAGAACGAGATCATAAGCACATGCATGTATGTACACACATGTGCGCACACACACACACACAGGCGTGCACACACAGCCCTCTCCGACCTGGAAACCCGTATGAGGGCTGGGGCCCACCAGGCTGTCAGTTATTTTTAGAGCTTGTTCTCACTGCCCACAGGCTGTTTTTGATGGAACAATTCTAGGGAGCCCAGCAGGCATCTTTCAGATCTCCCCAGAACAATGCCCTAGGGGGCTGTGGGGTCCTCCCGGGAGGCTCCACACTGCACTTGCCAACTGGGCCCTGGCGGCTGCGAGGCCCCTTTGGTGCCATAATAAAGGGAGATTTTCATGGCTCCTGCTGGGGAAGGGATGCTTCTGCGCCTTTGCAGGCATCTATTTTTGAGATTTCTATAATAAGCACCAATCACAAAAGCCTCCAGCACATGCACAGACATGCACATGCACACCCATGTATATAAATACCGAGTGCCAGCTCAACACTCAAGGCTGCTTTTTCATAATAAAAGTGGACTGGGATTGGGCCAGCAAGTCTGAGCGGAAGCATGTGATGCCCCAGGAAGAGTGGGGAGATTTTCTAGGAACAGCTTGTTCTAGTCTAACTGGCCACTTTCTAAATACCAGCACCCTGGCCTGCAGCATCCCTGGTGGGCGGAGGTGAGAACAGCAATGGCCGCTCCCACCCCCGCCCCCACCCCCCCAAGAGAGGCGGGAAAGGGAGCAAACACCATGAGCCCCTGCAGGCTCCTGCCTGGATCCCAGGAGTCCAGCTGCTCGGGCAGGGCCTGCTTCGACCTCCTCACCAGCCTCTGCGGTGGCCGTGAAGACCTCGGGCCCCCACGAAGTACAGGGGCCGCTGATAAAGAACCTTCAGCCAGCACTGCTATGGCTTTGGGAAGGGGTTGCTGTCTGCTACCACTGGGATTCTTTTTCTCTCCTCTCCCACTGTGAAATGAGCTAAAAAAAAAAAAAAAAAATTTCTGAGGCAAAAGAATGTCTTGGTTTGTACAGCTTTGAAGCAAGGCAGACTGTCCCTCCATGCAAGGGAAAAGACAGGGCCTGCTGGGGCCAGGGAGCTGCACAAACTCTCTGGGGCCGAGACAGGAGGGAGGCAGAATGCGAGGTGCAGAGAATGCCACCCCCTCCTTGGCAACAGGCGCTCAGGGAGGTGCTGCTGGGCTCAGGTGCATGCATGCAGTTCCCAAGGACAAGAGGACAATGGCTGGGGCGTCAGAACAGCCTCAGGCACATGGGAATTGCAGCAGCTGGCTGAGGAGAGAGGCGTCCCCGGGGGGGGGAAAGCAGGGCGTGAGAGAGATTGCGCATTCAGGGCCCACAGAACCCGGGGCCAGACTGGAAGCTCTCCACCTCTGCACACCCTGGGACCCAACATGGCAGGTACTATCTGAGGGTGGGGGCTCAGTCCCATCGCTGAACAGCAGGGACACCATTCCTGCCTGGACGTGCAGGAGGCTGGGGGCTGGCCCACTCCAGGCCCCTAGTGAACTGTCATTCCGGGTCCCAGGCCTGTGGAAGCTGTTTGGGGTTGTCTGTCTTATGGGGTTTTCAGCCGAAGCCTCCCAGCCTTTCCCTGTTCTTCTACTGTCTGGCTTTTCTATGTTCCTAAGATACGTGCAAGTTGGTCCCACACAACTACAACGTGGACTGCCACCTTGTCTTACTTGCTGTGGTTCTCAACCAGGGTGATCTCCCTCCCACGGAACATGTGATAATGTCTGGAGACACTTTTGGTTGTCACACTGCGGGGAGAGACGGCATGTGGTGGGTAGAGGCCAGGGATGCTGTAGACATCCTACCACGCACAGGCCCCTGGCAGAGGGTGCCTCAGGCCCAGGTGTCAACAGCATGAAGGCAGAGAAGCTGTCCTCTAGGCTGTTTGCTTGCCTGGAGATGCCACCATGCCTCACCAGGGCAGTAAGGGGACGGTTCGCTTCCGAGAGAGCGTCTCCCAGCACCAATGCAGCAGAGCGCAACTGAGCTCACCTTCTGGAGGATCTTCCACACCTTCTGGTAGAATCCCACGGGGACCCTGTTGATGGCCCCATCCAGCCTTCTCCGGCGCAGCCACTGGCCCTGCCGCTCCCCCCAGCCGATGTGATGTCCTCCCGAGTCTGAGGATGATGTCCCAGTGGGTGAGGATGGGGTGCTGGACCTCTGCAAGACAGACAGCTCAGGGCCTCAGAAGCCACTCAGCGCGTGCCCCAGGGAAAGCTCACCATCACAAAGGGCGGCCCCACAACCCAGACCCAAATGCCAGAACACCACTTGCCAGAGAGGAACACGGTGCCTGCAGTACACCTTGCCTGTTTCCTGATGCGGGAGGATGCACACACTTTAGGCTGGTCGCTTTATTCCATGCTGCACTCTGCCTGGCCCCTGAGAGGTGGTCTCGCCCCCAAAGCTAGAACCCATAGGGAAGAGGCCGAGCAGGGCAGGCACAGGCTCCAGACTGCCAGAACGCTAATCCCCACTTAATGCCAGTGGCACCAAGGACACACCCGAGGCCCTCTGGTCCTGCCATGAACACTAATTCCGGGCCTCAGTCCCATCTACACAGTGGGGACACAGTTGGGCATCCTTCAGAGAGTCACCTGGGAGCCTTCCCCACATGGAGACACAGGAGCCCCTGAGGCACGCCTGGTGTGCACTAAGTGCCCACGAGGGGCAGCTGTCACCGGCACGTGGAGTGGGAGAGCTCTGAGAGTGACAACAGGCTCTCAGAGCAGATACCCGTGGCCCAGGGAGACAAACTCCAAAGTGCCCACCTCACTGCTGCAGTGCCACAGAGAAGTAACAGTCACCTTTCCATAGAGCGGAAACCAGAGAATGCAACACACAACGTGGGGGAGGACAAACAGTAAAGCCCATGTTTAGTGGTGGGGACCGTGGAGATCTCCATCCACCCACCCTTTGCAATCTCACTTCCTGCTTGCCCTGTTCATGGCACTGGGCTTTATCTTAATTTGGGGCAATGAGTGCCTCTGAACTGGGGATACTTGGCTGAAGTGAGGGAAAAGGGTGCCATCTCCTTCCCACCTCCTCAACACTGGTGGGATGGATTCAGGCTCCAGAGGGGAGCACTGTCCGAGAGGCTCCCTGCAGCTGGGGCGGGGGCAGGCCTCTGCATGGGGGCACATCCCCTCCCTGCAGCAAAGCTGCCAGCCTTCGGTCTTGCCCTGCGGGGCTTCTAGCTTTGTGACCTCTAGGTTGAGAAGGGCTAACCTTCACACTCACTCATCTCTTTGCCTGGGACCATGTGGCACTTTGATTTCTCAATGCGCACAGTCAAATGTAAAGGGTTAAAAGTGGAACCGAAACATGAAGCGCGCACAGGACGGGGGTGGAGTGTGCCTTTTTGCCGCACTTGGACTTCAACAGATCTTATTTTGAAAGGAAGTTCAGCTGGGTTATTCCACTGGGCTCATTACTGCCACTAAGGCAACAATTAGACATAAATAAAAGTAATTACAGCTGCACTCCTCAATGACTCAGCTGATCTGGGCACTTCAGTTTCAGGAGCAAGACAGCCTCCACTGTGTAGTGAGTGCAATCCGAGTCCTGCATGGGACCTGGGGCATGGTGGGTGCAGGCTGCTAGTCGGCACGTGCGGGCAAGGGCTAACCATCCTGGCTCCATAAAGAGGCCCGGAACTAATGCCCAGAAGTTTCCAGAAGCCCTGAGAATTGGTGAGAAGGACGCTCCTCACCCACACGGAGCCGAGGAGCACAGGTAGAGAACCGAGAGCTCAAGATGGAGAATAAAGCTCAGTGCAAGCACTTTGGGGCCTTCTTTCTACCCTCCTTAGAATTCCCGTTGGAGGAGCCTGTGAGCATCCGCTGAAAACAGCCCTGCTCGAATCCTCACAAGTTGGGCATGAGGTGACAACATGAGGAAGGACGTGAGGAGAAGCAGTGACGGACACAATGATCCCGAGGCACGGTTACCGCAGACTTGGAGGAATGCGCACTGCTGGACGCAGCCTGGCCCACAGAAAACAACTACAAAACAAAAAGAATCCATTCAGTCGTGAGCAATGACACCAAGAGACACGGCAGAGGAGGGTCACGGAGCAGCATGCAAAACAACCACAGAAAGCAGCAGCAGCAAACGCGGGTGCAGAGAAGTTCCCACAGCAACACACACAGGCAGCTCAGGTGCAGGCACACCTGCAAGCACCGCTCTGGGCTTCGACTCCATGCGGAACTTGCTAACTGGTCTTTTTAAAAACATGAACTTGCTAACTGGTCTTTTTAAAAACATGAACTGTGGCCAGGAGCAGTGGTTCACACCTGTAATCCCACCACTTTGTGAGGCTGAGGTGGGCAAATCATGAGGTCAAGAGTTCAAGACCAGCCTGGTCAACATGGTGAAACCCTGTCTCTACTAAGAATACAAAAAATTAGCTGTGAGTGGTGGCGGGCACCTGTAATCCCAGCTACTTGGGAGGCTGAGGCAGGAGAATTGCTTGAACTCGGGAGGCGGAGGTTGCAGTGAGCCGAGATCGCGCCACTGCACTCCAACCTGGGTGACAGAGCAAACTCCATTCAAAACAAAAACCAAAACCCCATGAACTGTTACCACTGAACATAAATAAGGTAAATGTTCCTGTTGTATGTGGAGGGTGCCTCATCAAGTTAGGACACAATTTATTTTCCAAACTCACAGCCATGAAATGCTCATATTTTATGGTAAGAATTGTGAAAATCTACAGATGAACCAAATACCTACAGTTGACACTAATATCCTGCATCTAACAGACATTCAGTAGATATTTGTTAAAGGAACGAATATGATCAAGCTAACCCTTTGTCCAAATAAGTATCTCCTCGTCTAAAAATCTAGAACATACCCTTAATTTGCAAGGGCACAGTGTGTTATCTACATGGTGTTCTTGCAAAAGAGACTAGAAATTGAAAATCCCACAATACCTATTACATTTTGAAGAAATAACATGCTCTTTGACATAAGTGGTCAAATACAAAGTTTGTACTGGCGAGGTGACTCCAAACCCAGCAAGGAACAGGTGATCACTTTGTCCGCATAACATGCCAGAACAGCATGAAATGGAGGTGGAAGGAACTGCTCGGATTCGCCCACGGTCAGGCCATTGGGATGTGGGGACAGAGGGACGGTGCCACCGAGTGGCTGGCGAAGGAAGATGTTTGGAAAGCCAGTTCCTTACTTGGAAACAGCATAAATTAGGAGAGAAAACACGTTTTACCTCTGGACAATATATGGAATCTGCCTTTACATGTCATTAAGACGCCTCCTCTAGGCTCTTACGGTAATAGAGACATCAAAATGTTAGAAATGCGACTCAGAGGGGGAGGAGAAAGTATATCGCAAGGGTGATAGAAAAGAGTGGCATCCTTACATGTTTTTCCTTCCAGGGTAAGTCCCCCCGGGCGATCTGAGGACAGGAATAGCAGTATTCTTTTTATGGATATAACTGATGACCACATTTCCTCCATTTAGTTTCCTATTTAGTTCCCTCTTTTTGAACAGAAACTCTCACTGAGGCAGAACCTGGATGATCTCTTTCACAAAGTACCCTACAAAGCCCAAGAGTTTGAGAAACAGACTATTTTTAAAGGCATGGGGCAAGGTCGTCTCTCCTGCCCTCAAGCCCCGCTCTCTGCCTGCGCCTGAGCCTGCTGTTTGGATAGAGCCGCCGTCCACACATTCACATGCTGCAGTCACAGCCTCTCTTTCCACATTCAAGCCAGAAAGAACAGGAAGTAAAGGATGAAACAAGGCAAAGGGGCGTCACCTGTTCATCAGCACTAAATCGCCTAGTCATCTGAAAGCAAATATACATCAGGAAATCAAAACCAGCTTTGAGTCAAGAAGGCGTGCTGCTTCTGTCACCCTCTCTCTCAATCCAGGGCCATGTTGGTCAAACCGCAGGGGGTTACCCATGAGCACATCAGGGACTCGATCTAGTGGGTCACGACCAGCATTTAAAATAGAGCAGAAAATCTGAGTGCACTTCTCATGGTCAGAAGGAAACTCTTTCCCACCATGGATCCCGAGCAAGGGCTAGCACAGTACTTGGCACATTAAGACTGTGATGCTGAGCTGCTGCCCTGTGTGGCCACTTCAAATGGATTTTTACCAGGAATTAAAGGTGAACTAAGAAAAGAGACTAGACCCTTGTGGCTGGTGGAGAATCCAAGTATCACGGGCATTCCGGTCTACTTCCAGAGCCCTCTTGCTATTTCATTTGAAGGACACAGATGACTCGATGACTTTTTGCATGGCTGTGGCCCACTCCACAGAGTGGTTCTCGGGAACAGAGGCAAACATTGACAAGGGTATTTTCTGGAATGTTCATGTTAACATCACATTTTTGGGCAGCTCTGGAATATCTATCTGGGGACAGGGTGTGTTCAGATTCCAGACAGAAGGGACCTCCCATTCTCTACAGACAGTGGGGTCTAGATTTCTGTCGCTTTCTAGCGGGGAGCCAGGTAGGGAGACCACCACTCTCCCCTCGCTGCCACCGAGGTGTTTTTACCTGTTTCATCTCACTCCTCAGTCTGTTAATGCCACTCCTCTCGGTTTTGGTGACTCCGGTATGGCCCACCTCGTGGATAGAGATGGCAGGGCTGGATGTTGAGGAGTGGATAGGGCGCACTGGAGAGGAAACACACACACATGCTTCTTAGGAAATCTACCGCATCCATCCCGAAGGAGGATCTGCCCGTTTCCCCAACTTGACAATGAGGATCTTCTCTGCCCTGCCAGTGCCGTGTCTGCAGCACGGAGAGCAGTACAGGCACAGCAGTCAGCGCTTAAAGGAGTGGATGGAAGCGTGCAGAGTACTTAAGCACCATTACAACACAGTGGCCACGAAGTCCCTTACACAGTGCGATCCGTTTTTTTTTTTTTTTTTTTTTTTTTGGGGACGGAGTTTCGCCCTTGTTACCCAGGCTGGAGTGCAATGGCGCGATCTCTGCTCACCGCAACCTCCGCCTCCTGGGTTCAGGCAATTCTCCTGCCTCAGCCTCCTGAGTAGCTGGGATTACAGGCACGCGCCACCATGCCCAGCTAATTTTTTGTATTTTTAGTAGAGACAGGGTTTCACTGTGTTGACCAGGATGGTCTCGATCTCTTGACCTCGTGATCCACCTGCCTCGGCCTCCCAAAGTGCTGGGATTACAGGCTTGAGCCACCGCGCCCGGCCCTGCGATCCGTTTTTTAAAAATTTTTTGAGACAGGGTCTTGCTCTGTTCCCTAGGCTGGAGCACGCGATCTTGGCTCACTGCAATCTTCTCCTAGGCTGAAGTGATCCTTCCGCTTCAGCCTCCCGAGTAGCTAGGGCCACCGGCATGCACCACCACACCTGGCTCATTTTTGTATGTTTTGTGAAGACGGGGTTTTGTCATGTCACCCAGGCTAGTCTTGAGCTCTTCGGCTCAAGCGATCTGCCTCCCTCAACCTCCCAAAGTGCTGGGATTACAGGCATGAACCCCTGTCCCCAGCCTTGCTTTTGGATAAGTAAAAAATTATTCTAAAAGAACATACCCGAAGCCAGGCATAGTGGCTCACGCCTGTAATCCCAGCACTTTGGGAGGCTGAGGTGGGAAGATTGCTTGAGCCCAGGAGTTCAAGACCAGCCTGGGCAACATGGTAAGACCTCGTGTTTATATTTATTACAAATAAATGCATAAATTTAAAAAAATGCCAATGCACACCTTCCTTGTAGAAAACTGAGACCAATGAACTACAGAAGCTGGAATTAACATCGCTTGATATTTTAGTCATTATCTTTCCAGTTTTTTTCCCTAGGACTGTATGTTTTTAACAAAACAGAATCATCACATACATATGTATAGCTACAGAAACATATGAGATGGATACATACATTCTGTGGACATAGGTATGGTTCAGTGACCTGCCTTCTTGCACTTACATCAGAATCTCTCTTCCTCGCGTTAATATTCTGTCACATCATGTTTCATGACCGCATGGAGTTTGATTTGGTAAGTGATGACTGCTCAACAGTATACCCAATCCTGTTTGTATTAATATTTTTCTAAAGAGTTCGTCATGACGAACACGTAGGACCCACATGGGCCTTGCTGGGCTCTGTTCCAGTCCTGTGTGACTCTCAGAATGCCCCCAGGAAATGACAAAACTTCTGTGGGCCCCTGAGGGGCTGGCACCCTGGGCAGCTGTGGCCATGGGCTGGGTGATCCAGAAGGGCCTCCTGGTGCCAGGCCCTGTCTGGGCACCAGGTGCAGGTGTGACTGCAGGAGAATCCAGTGCCGCAGTGGTGCCTGGAGGAGAGCCCAGGCCCAGGCCTGAGGGCGAGGCGCCAAATGAAATGATGGTGGCAGCCAGAGGAGAGCCTCAGACTGGAGGGGTAAGTGCTTGGAAAGCCAGGCTGCCAGGGGCTAGAGATGGAGGCAACCGGAGGCCACCGACGCACAGCACCAGGCTACCACCTCTCACTTCTGACCTATTGCACCAGCCTCGGGACTCAGACTTGTCCCCAGCCCCGCTGCCCACCAGCCTGGCCTCTGTGCTGTGGTTACAGCAATCATTCTAAAAGGCAAGTGTGATCGGATTACTGCTCACTCCAAAGCCTCCTAGGTCTAGCTGTCTTCAGGACAAAGACCAAACAGTCCTCCCAGCATCACCTGAAACTCTACCACTGGAGTCCGACCTCCTCCGACACTCCCGGCCACCCGCGCCACACTGGGTATCTGCCTGGACCAGCAAGCCAGGCCCAGCTCAAAGGTTACCTCCTAGGGCAGCATCCCCTGCAAGCCTCACCATCCCACCTGACCCTACTGGACCCCACTGGGAGTAGAGGGGACTGTCCATGGGGAGTAGTGACAAATAAGGAACATGGGGACACCGAAATTTAGAAAACAGCAGAGAGGCAGAAGCCCACAGAGGCGGCTCAGTGATGAGCTGGAGAGGAAGGAAGGATCCAGGAAAACAGAACAAGAAGGGTCTGGAAGCTACAAGAGGGCCTGTCCAGGGTGGGTGTTTGCTGGAAACATTAATCTTTGTCATTTCAGGATTTAATCAACATTCTAAGCCTATTTGGGCTTCCTAATTTACAAAAATCGAACGATTACAAAAGACAGCTAACAAACGATGTTATATGTTAAAAAGACAGCATGTCTTCTGTTCTTGCTTGCAATCAGACATATTTATGGCTTTCAAATGACATGACTCAGTTCCTAGTTTCATAGCATCTATAGCTGTACATCTAATGACAAATTTTTAGTAATTATCTGTGTCAAGCCATGAATACTGTAATGATGAGCAGAGCACATTAAATATTTATCTTGTACATTACCATTTCAAGGACTCTGCCTTGGAAAGAACTGGAAATTACTTTTGCAGAAGCATTTTGAGCACCCCTCCTTCGGGAAAGGAGAAAAACCACCAAAACACATCTGATTGCTCGATGCCGTCTTTGTTTGTGGCCAGCACATGCTCAGGAAACCTACAAAGTACCCAGTGTCCTTCTTATTAAATAAATGGAATGATAGCCCACAGCTCGTTTCTTTGGCATAATGAAATAAATTCACCAACGTGCCTGCAAATCATTTAGCTTTTTTATGACGAGTAGAAATGATAATTGCTTCAATTATAATTAGGGAACATTTGAGAACAAGAATCATGCTAGGACTTGGGAGATTATGTTTTCCAGCACTGCAAGCAGGGTTCTGGTTCAGATACAAACACAGTGAGTGAGGCAGGACAAAGCAAACTACGTTAGCTTGAGCATGCTGTGAGGTCACTTGAGCATGCTGTGAGGTCACAGAGGGGTCCCCTCCTTGCCCTGTGGAGGGTGATGTGAGGCCAGGTTGAGAATGTTTTCACCCAAACCAAAGGCCAGGACACTCAGGTGGTTTGAAAGGATAGCCCTTTCATCCTGGCACTCGGGGTCCCCCACACTTTTTTACACAAGTGATGGTACCAGGTGCTTATGGCTACAGGAGGCAGCATACCACACCCACATGTCATGCCAACCTGGGGAAGAAAAGCTCGTCCAGCACACCACAGTGAGTCCCAAAGCCCCCAAAGCAGGAAGCTGGAGCCGAGGACTCTGTCCCTCTCCTTCAGGTAGGAGCCTTTCCTTCCCGCATTCCCTATGCCCCCCAGCGCTAGTTGTGATGTCTGTGGCATGTAAAGGGGCAGCTCCCTGAAGAGGTAATAGGAGCATGGGACTTACCGCTTCTTTCAACACCAAACTCTTTCCCACTTAGAATATGGTGTAGGAGATTTTTCATATCGAAAGGGCTGAGGTTCATTAAACTTTCAGAAGCCTCTTCTCCTAAAAACAAATGTCTTGTAAGTGTCCCAGACACAGGGCTGGTGGCGGGTGAAGGTAGGGTCAGGTGGACCTGGGTGGGGAGGGAAGTGACACCGGATGCTGTGGCAGGTCCCCCTCTCGGGAGAACCTCGCTATTTGTAGATTTTGTGTCTAAGAATGTATGATCCCCCACATGGGATGCCTCATGATGGATTTTTATATTCAAATTGGTAGGGTTTCTCCTAGTGAAGGTGTTATGAAATGGGGGTGACATCTCCCAGCAAGGGCATCCAGGAAGGAGCTTAGATGTCAGTTACAGGGCAAAAGATTCTGCATCGCCTTTGAGGCTCTAATGGTAAATGTCACTAAGGCCCCATTCTCCCTGACTTAGGAACTTCAGCTCCATGTCACGTGGATGGGAATTCCATCTAAATGAGAGAGGCTGGTCAGGCCTGAGCTTGCCCACAGGCTTGGATGCTAGGTTCAAGATAACCTAAGCAGGGCTTCCCCTGAGCATGGAGGCAATGGCTGGGTGGCCAGGGTGAGGTGCGGCGGGAGCTGCATGAGCTGCGGGCCTCTCACCTGAGCAGTTCAGGCTCCGCGCCAGCTCTGTGGCCATCACCTGAATGATCAGTCCAATCCGGAGTCTCAGCATCTCCACAAAGAGGCTGGGCTGTGCTCTCACATACATGGCCAGGTAAACCACAATCTCCTGACGCAGACACACATGGAGATCGGGTTTCAGAGACCAGTGGGTGGCTGAGGGGTCCCTTCCACTCTCAGGAAGGCTGTGGCTCAGCCCCTCCCATACCAGCCCCTGACCTGTGTGAGGACGGCGATGCTGATGTCCTGCCCGCTGGCCTCGTAGATGAGTTTTGTGAGCTCCTCTGGCGGAAGGGGCCTAGGAAGGAGCATTGTCCCATAAACATGATGAGGTGTCTTGAGGCAGTGCCTCTTCGCCCTCCATGGAACACCCTTATTTTCTGTGCTAGATGCACCCATGTGACAGAGTGTCTTTTTTTTTGGAGACAGTTTCGCTCTGTTGCCGAGACTGGAGTGCAGTGCCACAATCTCAGCTCACTGCAACCCCTACCTCCCAGGTTCAAGTGATTCTCCTTGAAGTGATTCCAGCTTCCCGAGTAGCTGGAATTACAGGTGCCTGCCACCACACTCAACTAATTTTTGTATTTTTAGTACAGATGGAGTTTCACCATGTTGACCAGGCTGGTCTTGAACTCCTGACCTTGTGATCTGCCCACCTCGGCCTCACAAAGTGCTGAGATTACAGGTGTGAGCCACCGTGCCCAGCCATGACAGAGTGTCTTTAAAAAGCCCCTCCTCTGAACACTGGGAAGCACTGATGTTTTCCCCGCGGCTCCCCGAAAAAACCTGAGGTCCCCAGGGCTGAGGACTTACGCAGAGATGATCTTCTCCCGGGGCTCGGGTGGCAGGCCCACGGTGAGCTGCTTCTGGTGTGATAGCAGGTCCGTGCAGGCCTGTGCAGTTAGGAGACAGGGTGAGAAACAGGGCGCAAGAGAGACTGGCAAAGATGATGGGGGGGGCGAGGCACTGCCAATCAGATTGTACATTTACCTTTACAAACTTTATGACCCATGTTGCCCTTGATTTGAAAAATGCATACCTAGACCCCAGACTAAGCAACCCAGGCAGGGCTGGGTGTCTGTGGGCTCTGTCTCCAATGTGTGGCCCAGGCCTGGCTCTGCAGGGCCCGTCAGTGGGTGATGAATGCCCATCCACTGTAGCAAACACACTGGACTCCCTGCTATTCAGTGAGAGAGGGATGAGTCCTAAGATACTGATGGTAAGAGTTAATAACCATATTAAATTCTGAAATTACCCGTTTCCCCATTATTCACATCTAATAAATGCCATCATCTTACCATCACAACTGAACTTGAGTGTCTTTCTGGATTTTGCCTGGCTTTGGTGTTATAAATATTAATGATCACTGTACTGTGGATGTGTGAAAAAAGAGAGCTCTAAGAGGCTGCCAGGCCACAGAGCACTCTCATTTGATTTCCTGGCAAGCCTTTTTCTATAGCTAAGAAAGAACAAAACAAATCCACTTGCATTTCCTTCTCTTTGCTCACCTTCCTGGAGCAGTGAGCAGGCAGGAGAGAAGGGCCTGCTCTACCTGTAGGTTAAACAATGGGGCTCCAGGCCGGGTGCGGTGGCTTATGCCTGTAATCCCAGCACTTTGGGAGGCTGAGGTGGGTGGATCACGAGGTCAGGAGATTGAGACCATCCTGGCTAACACGGTGAAACCCTGTCTCTACTAAAAATATAAAAAATTAGCTGGGTGTGGTGGCACATGCCTGTAGTCCCAGCTACTTGGGAGGCTGAGGCAAGAGAATTGCTTGAATCTGGGAGGCAGAGGTTGCAGTGAACCAAGATCACACCATTGCACTCCAGCCTGGGCACAGAGCGAGACTCCATCTCAGAAAAAAAAAAAAAAAAAAAAAAAAAGAAAGAATGGGGCTCCTTCACAAGTAAGAGGTGTAACTAGAAGACTGAAAGTGGAAGAGGAAGGGGGCGTGAGCTAATGAGCACACACGGGCCGGCGCACAGTCGCACTGACCTCAGACAGGACCTCCACTTTCTTCCTGAGCAGGCCTGAGATGTAGCGAATCAGACCCCACTCCTGGTTCAAGCCAGCTTTCCCATAGAGCTCGCTGAGGAGGTTTTGAACGGTGACCCCGTGCTGTCCAGAGAGATTTGTGTCCCAGCTGGGACCCCTGCCAAGAGGTAGAAAAACTCAGAAATATGGTCCAGAATGTTTAAAGACTGGGAGAGGAACAGATCACTGTGCATTTTGCAAAGTGCTTGGGCTCTCCCAGTGTCCGAGTCTCACTGAGAGGGTTATGTCCGACCAAAGCTTCTCTATGTCCTTTGAAAAAGAAGCCTGACATGAGGAGATTGTGGCCTCCTGGCCTCACGTGGCCTTCTCATCCTGGGGGACCAGCATCAGTAGGCAGAGAAGGGGATAGAAGTCTCATTCCTGGTGATCCTGGGTAACTGGAGTGAATATAATCATGACTTGGACTGGCTAGAAGGCCAAGAATACTAGGGAAAAAATTAAAGAAAACAGGGAAAGCTCAACCCGGTAAAGACCATCAGCTTACTGCTATGGCTTGAGTGTTTGCTTCCACCCAGTTCCTATGTTGAAATCTTAACCCCCACAATGATGACATTAGGAGGCAGGGCCTTTGGGAGGTCATCAGGTCATGGGGCAGAGCCCTCCCGAATGAGATGTGCCCTTATATAAACAACTCCCGAGAGATCACTCGCCCCTTCCACCTATGTGAGGATGCAATGAGAAGATGCCATCTATGAGAAAGCAGGCCCTCCCAGACATCAATTCGGCCTTGAGTTTGAACTTCCCAGCCTCTGAACTGTAAGAAATACATTTCTGTTGTTTATAAGCCACCCTGTTCATGTGATTTTGTTTTAACTGCCAGAATGGACTAAGACACTTACTTGATGACATAAAGAATGTACAGAATGTCTGCTTGGTCCTGTAGGTTCGAACAATCTTTCAGCTGCTCAACCAGCTTCTCACAGTCCACGTCACCATGGTCATCTCTGGGCCACTGGAAGTCACTTTCAGGAACCTGCTCATACAAGAGCCAAAAAGCAGGGAGATGGGCTAGGCATGGAACTTTTGGAAGATCAAGAAGTGAAACGCCAATCTGGTCTCGGAACTCTATCACTGTGCTGTGCTCCAGTTTTCAATGACTTTTTTGTACCTTTTTATTTATAGGCTTTTATGATTTTTGATCAGTGGATCATCGTGCTGGTCAACATCTGCAAGAGACTGGACTGAGCTGGTTAAAATATATGTGAGTTTTATTTATGGAAGGTTCACAGACAAGCAAAACTAATCTCCGGTGTTAGGAATCATGACGGCAGTTATCTCTGGACTAGAAAAGGAGAAAGAGATGGGAGGGGGGTCACAGAAGGTGGTCACTGATCTAGGTATACTGGTTTGGTGATCATTCACTGAGCTGAAAGTGTGAAGGATATGCTATCCCCAAATATGCCAGGTTGGTATATTGACTATTTTGAGTTGAAAACATTGGAAAAATTGTAGTTTCAGAAAGGGGTAGCTGACCTGTCTCTTTTTGCAGGCAGTAAGCCATAAAGATGCCTCTGGGAGGGGGGCACTCCCAGGGCGCGAAAATAGCCCATATCACTAGAGCCTGGGAACTGGGGGTGGGTGGCAATGGACCTGTATAAACACACTTACCCAAAGAACCCTTATCTTCCGCTAGTTCTACACGCCCCCATGGATCTCCTAGTAACTGCCTCTAGCCAGATTTTTCTTGTCCTGTCTAGCTTCTCAAATTTATCACTTGGTTTAAAAAGTATGAAACCATCTTGCTTGGACCACTTCTTCAGACCTCATGCTCTTGTGAAGATCCCCATGTACCCAGAAAACAAATCACCTTTGTAATGCTTTTTCTTATTAACCTGCCTGGTGTCAAGCTGGCTTTCTAGATGGAGCTGAAAAGCCCTCACAACAGCTAAGGAGGGGTTGGAGGTGACCTGTCGCTCCTCTGTTCCTGCTTTCTGCACCATGCTGCCTATATAGTATAGTTATTTGGAAGCAAAACAAACACAAAAAGTATGTTTTAAGCAACCTAAAATTGAAATCGGGGTAAAATCTTCTCCAACAGGCACTGAGTCTATTTGTGTGGGGTAGAATCAGAGAAGAGTCCTGGATAAAATAAACTGTGGGAATCCATGGAACACCCTGAGATTTTATTCTCCTGAGGAATCTTAATTTTTAATTTTTTTAATGTCCATCTTTTTCCTGCAGTATCCTAAAGAATCTTTTACTCGTTTTTCTTACATAAAGAGCATTAGGGGCTGGGCACAGAGGTTCGCGCCTGTAATCCCAGCACTTTGGGAGGCTAAAGCAAGAGGGTTGCTTGAGCCCAGGAATTCCAGACCAGTCTGGGCAACATGGTGAAACCCTGTCTCTACGAAAAATACAAAAATTAGCTGGGCATGGTGGTGCACGCTGGCATTCCCAGCTATTTGGGAGGCTGAGGTGGGAGGATCGCCTGAGCCTGGAGGTTGAGGCTGCAGTGAGCTATGACCACACCACTGAACTGTAGCCTGGGTGACAGAGCAAGACCCTGTCTAAGAAAAATTTTAAAAAGGCCATTAGGAACAAAGAGTCCTATACCCTGTTCCACAGGCAGTCCCACCTTGGCAGGCTACACAGTTAGGCGGGGCTAGGTAGTGAGTGATTTCCTCTAGTGACTACATAGACTCTGATGAGAAGGCAGCAAGGCAGTAGCTTTTCCTACAGGCAAAACGTAAAGGTTTGCATCAAATTTAATGTACATATTGATGCAAGTCAGATTCCAGACAATGAATTGGGTTCATATCCAAGCCCAGAGGTTCTAAACCTAAAGGTCCCAGATAACAATAGGCTGTTTCTTTCTTTTGAGCTGAACCACTTGAAAGAGTTGGGGGACTAATCCTGCATTGCAGGACACCATACTTTTTCAAAAACCTATTCCATATACTTTACCTTTTCTAGGAGTGGCTGAGGAGAATCGACAAGATTCAGTGATTTACGGTGGGCACTTAGAACTTTAGTCGGCAAAGTCATGGGAACAACTGGAAAACAAAATAGAGTTTTGAGGAGGAAGAAGGATAAAATAATTTTTTCTTTTTTTGTGTTTTTTGAGATGGAGTCTTGCTCTGTCACCCAGGCTGGAGTGCGGTGGCATGATCTCAACTCACTGCAACCTCTGCCTCCCAGGTTCAAGTGATTCTCCTGCCTTAGGCTCCCGAGTAGCTGGGACTACAGGCATGTGCCACCACGCCCGGCTAATTTTGTATTTTTAATAGAGATGAGGTTTCTCTATGTTGGTCAGGTTGGTCTCAAACTCCCAACCTCAGGTGATCCGCTCGCCTTGGCCTCCCAAAGTGCTAGGATTACAGGCATGCACCACCATGCCTGGCCTAATTTTTATATTTTTAATAGAGATGGGGTTTTGCCATGTTGGTCAGGCTGGTCTTGACCTCCTGACCTCAGGTGATCAACCCATCTCGGCCTCTCAAAGTGCTGGGATTACAGGCGTGAGCCACTGCGCCCGGCCAATACTTCTTTTGAGAAGTATGGCGGCTACTCCTTATTTAACACAAACCAACCAAAGGAAAGATCATTTATTTAGTTTCAGTAAGAATTTATCATGTAGCCACCTCATGTGCTAAATCTGGGAATAAGAAGTGAGCAGGGAATGGATCTTGCTTTGAGAATTGGATTTTGCTCTTCCCTCCTGGAATTCAGGGAAAATGATATAACGTCCTAGGACTGGAAAGAGACTCAGAAGTAATTGCGCCTGAGCTCTTTTTCTTTCAGATGAGGAAACTGAGAGACCCAGAGAGGGTAGACCATTTGTCTAAGGTCACTGGGGCTCCCATAATCAAGGTATCTGAGCTTCCGGTCCAGTATGCACTTTACTCCGCCACTGCTGGGTGGTAGGGCTTGTTTTTCAACCACCTCTGGATATGATCATTATCGATATTTATTCATTAAGCCCTTTCTGTCTTCCAGGCTATAGTATGCTATCTCAGGAGAATAGGAAGTTTTCAAGGTAAACATGATGCATATTTAAACGGCACTTATAGACCTCCAGGTTACACTGGTAAATTGAATAGACATTGTCATTTTACTTCCTTCCAACCCTCCACTAACATTACAGAAAATATATACAGTTATGTGTTGTTTAATGACAGGGATACGTTCTGAGAAATATGTTGTTAAGCAATTTCCTCGCTGCATGAACATCACAGAGTGTACTTACAGAAGCCTAGATGGTGCAGCCTACTACACACCTAGGTTGGATCATAAAGGCGATTGCTCCTTGGCTACAAATCTACATGTATGTTCCTATACTCAATACGGTAGGTAATTCTAATACAATGGTAAGTATTTGTGTGTCTAAACAGAAAAGGTACGGTAGAAATATGGTATAGGCCAGGCATGGTGGCTCACACCTGTAATTCCAGCACTTTGGGAGGCTGAGGTGACAAGATTGCTTGAGCTCAGGAGTTCAAGACAGGCCTAGGCAACATAGTGAGACCTCATCTCTACTAAAATTAAAAAAAAAAAAAAAATGAGCTGGGTGTGGTGGCCCATGGCTGTAGTCCCAGCTACTGGTAGTGGGGGCTGAGGCAGAAGGATTGCTTGAGCCCAGGAGGTTGAGGCTGCAGTAAGCCCTGATTGTGCCACTGCACTCCAGCCTGGGTGACAGAGCAAAAACCCTCTCAAAAAAAAATGTGGTATATAAGATGAAAAATGGTTTATCTCCATAGGGCTCTTGCCATGAATGAAGCTTGCAGGGCTAGAAGTTTGCTCTGAGTGAGTGGTGAGTGAATGTGAAGGCCTAGGGCATGACTCTACACTGCTATAGACTTCATAAAGACTCTACACTCAAGCTGCACTGAATTCATCACAGCATTTTCTTTCTTTAATAAATTAATCTCAGCTTACTGTAACTTTTTTACTTTATCAACTTAAATTTTTTTAAATGTGGCTCTTTTGTAATAACAGCTTAAAACAGATTGTATGGCTGTACAAAGATATTTTCTTTCTTTATATCCTTATTCTATAAGCTTTGTTCTATTTTTTAGTTTATTTATTTTACTTTTTAAACTTTTGTGAAAAAATGAAGACACAGGCCAGGTGCAGTGGCTCACGCCTGTAATCCCAGCACTTTGGGAGGCTGAGGCAGGTAGATCACAAGGTCAGGAGATCGAGACCATCCTGGCTAACATGGTGAAACCCCATCTCTACTAAAAATACAAAAAATTAGCTGGGTGTGATGGCAGGTGCCTATAGTCACAGCTACTTGGAAGGCTGAGGCAGGAGAATTGCTTCAACCCAGGAGGCGGAGGTTGCAGTGAGCCAATATTGTGCCACTGCACTCCAGCCTGAGTTACAGAGTAAGACTCTGTCTCAGGGGAAAAAAAAAAAAAAAGACACAAACACACACATTAGCCCAGGCCTATACAGGGCCAGGATCATCAATCTCACTGTCTTTCACCTCCACAGCTTGTCCCATTGGAAGGTCTTCAGGGGCAGTAACATACATGGAGCTGTCATCTCCTAAGATAACAATGCCTTCTCCTATAATCCCTCATGAAGAACCTATCTGCGGCTGTTTTACAGTTAACTTTTTTTAATAAGTAGAGGAGTATACTCTAAAATAATGATATAGTATAGTACATACACAAATCAGCAATGTAGTTATGTATTGCCATTATCAAGTACTATGTACTATGTGCTATACATAATTATATGTGTTTAACTTATACGGCGGGCAGTGCAGGAGGTTTGTTGATACTGGCATTGCCACAAACACGTGAGCAGTGCACTGTGCTACAACATCACTACAGCTACAATGTCACTAGGTGACAGAAAGGTTTCAGCTCCATTATAATCTTAGAAGACCACCGCCATATATACGGTCTGCCATTGACCAAAACATTGTTATGTGGTGCATGACCGTATATATATTTAAAAAAAAGACAAATCCTTGAGAATGAAGAAAAGCAACAGAGAAGATGACAGAAACAGATTTCAGAAGTGGGAAAGCTGATGGATGAAAGATAGGTGATTTAGCTGATACAAGGCCACAATTCCCAAGTCTGCAGTGGAGAAATCCGAGAGCTTGTCAGTTACACCTGAGGGTCCTCAGAAGTCTCTGGAGCCTGCTGCACCATGTGGTGCTGGAACTGAGGTCTAGAAGGGGTGTGCAAAACAAGGAAGGCTTGGGAGAAGCTGTTTGAGAAGCAGTGGAGCCCCCTGGACATCCTCTTCAACGACACCCAGCTTGATGACCAACTCACTCACTCTGACAGAAGGCTGGAGAGTCTCTCAGAAAGATGGTAGAAGAGAGGGGGGCTGCTGACTAGCACATCTGAAGGCTTGGATACATTCCTTAAGGGAATTATAAGTAACTATATAGCTCCAGGCAACTAGACCCTAACCCTTGAAACAAGAAATCCACTCAGAGATTGTAGAGTATCTCTGGGAAATAAAATAACTCCGAGTCAACAAGCCCCACTCATGGGCTTGGAGATTCTCATGCATGACCAGGTAAGTGAGGAGCAGCAGGGCACTGGAAGAAAGACTGTCATGTGGAAGACAGAAACCTAAGCAAACCAGAAAAAGTGACTTGGGGGAATGGAAACCATTCAAAGAGAAAAAAAGGGTAAATACAAACCAAAACAAAAAGGTCTGCCATTAATATTCTTAGAATAATAACAAATTGCCAGGCACGGTGGCTCATGCCTGTAATCCCTGCACTTTGGGAAGCCAAGGCAGTCAGGTTGTTTGAGGCCAAATTCTGAGACTAGCCTGGGCAACATGGTGAAACCCTGTCTCTACAAAAATTAAAATAAAAATTAGCCGGGTGTGGTGGCACGCACTTGTGGTCCCAGGTACTCGGGAGGTTGAGGTAGGAGGACCGCTTGGGCCTGTGAGGTGAAGGCTGCAGTAAGTCGTAATTGCACCACTACACTTCAGCCTGGGTGACAGAGAAAGACCCTTTTCTCTCTCTCTCTCATAAAAAGAAATTATACTGTATTTTTATTATCTTTTTGAGACAGAATCTCGCTCTGTCACCCAGGCTGGAGTACGCTGACACGATCACGGTTCATAGCAGTCTCAACCTCCTGGACTCATGTGATCCTTCCATCTCAGCCTCCCAAGTACCTGGGATCACAGGCATGCACCACCACGCCTGGCTAATTTTTTTGTAGTTGTTGAGACAGTGCCTTGCTATGTTGCCCAGACTGGTCTGAAACTCTCGGACTCAAGCGATTTGCCTGTCTCAGCCTCCCAAAGTGCTGGGATTATAGGCATGAGCCACTGCATCTGGCCAAGAGATTATATTGTAAACATGAAACAAAAACAGATGCAAATTGGGGAACAAAGTTTTAAAACATGATAGCAAAAGTGGCTCAATTGAGGGAGTAGAACAAAAAGTTGAGACAGTGGCTCTCACGGGAGACAGAGAAGTGGAAAACAGAGGGGAAAAAAATGATAAAGTCTTCTCCAGGAAGTCAACTTTGGAATCACAGAAACACCGGAAAGAGAGAACAGAAAAAATGTAGGGAACGAAATGAGTCAAAAAACTTTTCAGGAAAACATTACAGGACTGAAGAACATAAATTTCCAGATTGCAAAGGCCTACTGTGTTCAATACAATGAATGAAAACACACCCAGCTAAAGGTTAAGGTGTGGCACTGAAATGTCAGAAACTGGGTGCAGAGAAGATCCTAAACACTTTCAAAGAGAAAAATCGCTCATTCTGATTTCGAAGTATCAAAAATCAGAATGAGCCATATGTGGTGGCTCACACCTGTAATCCCAGCACTTTGGGAGGCCCAGGAGGGCAGATCACCTGAGGTCAGGAGTTCAAGACCAGTCTGGCCAAAAGGGTGAAACCCTGTCTCTACAAAAAATACAAAAATTAGCTGGGTGTGGTGGTGGACGCCTGTAATCCCAGCTACTTGGGAGGCTGAGGCAGGAGAATCGCTTGAACCTGGGAGGCGGAAGGTGCAGTGAGCTGAGATCGCACCACTATACTCAGCCTGGGTGACCAAGTGAGACTCTTGTCTCAAAAAAAAAAAAAAAAAAAAAAAGAAAAGAAAAAGAAAAAAGAAAAAACCAGAATGGGTTTAGATTTCTGGTATGGTTTGGATGTCCCACTCAAATCTCATGTTGAAATGTAATCCCCAGTCTTGGAGATGGGGCCCAGTGGGAGGTGTCTGGATCATGGGGGTGGGTCCCTCATGAATGGCTTGGGCCATCACCTTGGTGATAAGTGAGCTCTCACTCTGAGTTCACAAGATATCTGAGGTCTGGTCGTTTAAAAGTATGTGGCCCCTCCCCTGCCACTCTCTCTTTTGTTCCTACTGTTGCCATGTCAAGTGTCTGCTCCCCCTTTGTCTTCGCCATGATTGGAAGCTTCCTGAGGCCTCCCTGGAAGCCAAGTAGATGCCAGCATCATGCTTCCTGTACAGCCTACAGAACCTTGGGCCAGTTAAACCTCTTTTCTTTATAAATTACCTAGCTTCAGGTATTTCTTTATGGCAATGCTAGACTAGCCTATTTTTTTTTTTTTTTTTTTTTTTGAGACAGAGTCTTGTTCTGTTATTCAGGCTGGAGTGCAGTGGTGTGATCACAGCTCATTGCAGCCTCAACCTCCCTAAGCTCAAGTGATCCTCCTGCCTCAGACTCTCAAGTAGCTGGGACTACAGGCATGTGTCACCATGCCCAGCTATTTTTTCTATTTTTTGTAGAGACAGGGTCTCACCATGTTGCCCAGGCTGGTCTCAAATTCCTGGACTCAAGTGATCTTCCTGCCTCAGCTTCCCAGAGTGCTCAGATTATAGGCATCAGCCACTGTGTCTGGCAGGGTTTAGATTTCTCAATAGCAACACTGATACACTGATAGCAGGAAGACAATGAAATAGTACTTTCAAACATCTGGAAAAAAAATGTATTTTCTTTTTTTTTTTTGAGATAGAGTCTTGCTCTGTCACCCAGGCTAGAGTGCAGTGGCACAAGCTCAGCTCACTGCAACCTCTGCCTTCTGGGTTCAAGCAATTCTCCTGCCTCAGCCTTTGGAGTAGCTGGGACTACAGGTGCAGGCCACCACACCTGGCTCACTTTTATATTTTTAGTAGGGACAGTGCTTCACCATGTTGGCCAGGCTGGTCTTGAACTTCTGACCTCAGGTGATCTGCCCACTTCAGCCTCCCAAAGTGCTGAGATTACAAGCATGAGCCATCACACCTGGCCAAAAACATGTATTTTCAATCTAGAATTCTATACCCAGCCAAACTCTCAAATGGGTCTGGAACATTCGTAGACATTTTTTAAATTGCAAGCTTTCAACAATTTTACCCAGCGTGCACTGTTTCTCAGGAAACTACTGCATGTCCTCTATCAAAATAAGGGTGAACCAAGAAAGAAGAGTTGAGATACAGTACACAGGAGAGCCATCCCAGGAGACAAGTCAAGGAACTCTCTAGGGAAGATCTCGGGGTAAAACGCACCTCAGACACGGAGGGCAACTAAACCAGAAGGGGGGCAGTGGGCACTGTAGTTCAAAAACGAGCAAGTTGAGAGCTGTCACCATCATACCCTCTTCCACTGCACCCATTTTTTTTTTTTAAACCTACTGAAACTTTCTAGAATGCGCTACACCAAAACAGAAGAATACATTGAGAAAGGAGAACACACCAGATTCAGGAACCAGGGAATCCAACTAAAGAGACAAACCAGGGAAATTCCCAGGATGACAGATACGCAACAGGCCTAGATCACAGTCAGCCCAGACAGAAGGAGTCTCGTGGCCTCTAAGAAAGGCAGTGGAATTGAGAGATTCACTGATATGGCTGAGCCTGTGGAAATTTGTATTGCGAGGTCACTGGAAGATGTAGAAAGAAAGCAAAGCAAATGAAAAGCTAGGGTAACTTTACCTTACGAGAAAACAAAGAGTAAAAATGGGCATGTAATCAGAGTATACTATAATGCTCAGTTGCAAGTCATATTTGCATAAATACAATGAGATAAAGAGTGAATACTGATTGAACTAAACTTTAACCCCTTGGTGGGTGAGGGGGAGTGAAGCAGAGGAGTGGCGATTTTAGACACCAGATCCTTACTCATATGATAGAAGTCAATAGCTACCGAATCAAGTCAATGCATGTGAAGACAGAAGTATCCTCACATTATCTGAGAAATATGGAGATATGCATATACCAGAAGAAAGAGCTGAAAGAGTTGAAAGTGGTTACCTCTAAGTAGAAGGACACGGGGGGCGGGTAGGCAGGGGGGCATTTTGTTGTCTTCTAGGATTCTTTGGCCTTTAAATTATGTCTCTGCATTACTTTGATAAAAGAAGGTATTTTAACAGGCAGAAAAGAGTTAATAACATACATGGAACTTCCAAACCCTTTGCCTTTGCCATCACAGAAAGTATGTCCCGCGTGGAGTGGATAGCACTGAAGACATGGCGGTCTTCTGTGTTCTTACGAAGAGGAGGCAGATAGCACCTCAAGGATGTGCTCTGTAGAAGGTGGTTGATATACTGGTCAAGTTCGTCTTGGCTTTCTGTAATAGGACAAGCAAGAAAAAGAGCCAATGAAACCAAGCTGCAGAAATATGACTGCACAATAGTGACCGTGGGTAGCAAGTGGCACTGAGTAGGCTTAGCAGATGACAACACTGAGATATCGATATTTGCACTCCCACTCATCCCCGAAGAGTAAGAGGAGATTTACAGAGATAATATATACATGTAGAAATTTATTGTTTGGAGAAACTTCATCCCAGGAAAAAACAACTTCAGGTCAAGGTAGTGTTTATATCTCATCCTCCCAAGATAAACTGAATAATATGTAAGACAACCTGAAGGGTAGAGGCCGAAATCTGGGCTCTTTGTCATGAGTGAGCTAAGCCTTATGGAACTCCCAGCCCTAATTCCAACTACTATCTAAAAGTGAAAAACAGACCACCCCAAAACCTTATTCAGGCTGAGAAATGTTAATATACATAGGGTTTCATCACTCATATCCAAACAAACCTAGATCATTCTACCATTCCTTTGAAAATTCAAGCAGTATGTTTTTGTCTTCAGAATGTATTCTGTGCAAAGTCCCCATTTCTGGCCAGCCACAGTGGCTCATGCCTGTAATCCCAGCACTTTGGGAGGCTGAGGCAGGCTGATCAATTAAGCCCGGGAGTTCAAGACCAGCGAGGACAATATAAGGAGACCCCCATGTCTATAAAATACAAAACAATTAGCTGGGTGTGGTGGTGCTTCCCTGTAGGTGTATAGTCTTAGCCAGTTAGGAGGCTGAGGTGGAAGGATCACTTGAGCCCACCCAGGAGGTCGAGGCTGCAGTGAGCCATGATCATGCCACTACATTCCAGCCTGGACAACAGAGTGAGACCCCGTCTCAAAAACAAACAACAACAACAACAACAAAAAAAAAAAAAAAAAAAGAGAGAAGAGAAGAAGAAAAAAGGGAAAAAGAAAAAAAAAGTCCCCATTCCTGAAACACTTTGTCCTTCTAGGTTTAAAAATGCCCCACTTTTAAGGACATCATTTGCATTTTAGGTTTTTAAACTGGCATTTTATTCATTTTAATATATGGAAGTTTCAGAAGCCTCTTTTTTGTTTTGTTTTTCCTTGTTTTTAATTATAATTGTATTTGAGTCTTAGGGCAATTTTATCACAATGCTAAAGTTTAAATAAATTTAGCAAACTGTCCACAAAAGCATTCCAAGCCGTACCTTGATTACAGGTGTCTTCCCGATATCCTCCCAAATCTGAATCACTATCGGGACTAAAAGTCCCTTCGCTGTCATAGTCAAACAACTTCTCATCACAGTCTGGATCCAGGAAAGTCAGATACGTGTAGAACGATGTGGTGAGAAATTCCGAAAGGTTCCCCAATTTTACTCTGCCAAGAAGACACTGTGTGAGGGACATGGGTAGAGTGTGGACAAACTTCTACTATGCATCACTCGGAGATTTCTGCACAACCAGGTGGCGCTTCTGCCAGAATCAATATATATATTACTCTGCAGATTGCCCCATATAAGCGGTCAGCCAAGACGTTCATTGAAAAATTCAATAACAAGTATGACGTGAACGTGCACAGCATATTAAAAGCCAAATGAATCACACTGACTTCTTACTCCCAACCCAACACAAATAAGAATCTATTTTAGTGAACCAACAGTGTGACAAAATATATCGAGCAAACTACTTTTAAACAGAACCCACCCATGTTTTTGTTTTGTTGTTTTCCCCCAAAATGACTAGACCAGAAGCCACGATTCTCTGGGCACACTCGTTCTATTATTTGAGTCTCTACCACGAAACACCATCACACAGGGACAGGAGTGCTATGATGGAAGAGGCCAGGTTCCCTCTAGAAAGTATTCGATGGGGAAGCTGTCCCCAGACTGGAGCAGAAGCCCTGAGTGGCCCTCTCACTTTAGGCTGGGTACAGTTCCACTGAAACCTGGAAACTGGGCTTGGCAGCCTGGGGTCTGAGGTTCTCAGGTCTAACCCCACATGCTGGGAGCTACTTCCACCCTACAGAAAACAGTCTTAAAAGGTTACACTGGGGGCAGCAGAAAGCAACGGATCCCTCCCTCAGAGTTACCAGCACCAGACTGGGATTTAGTGAACCAACCCAAATGCCCACCAATGACAGACTGGATAAAGAAACTGTGGCACATATACACCATGGAATACTATGCAGCCATAACAAATGATGAGTTCATGTCCTTTGCAGGGACGTGGATGAAGCTGAAAACCATCATTCTCAGCAAACTGACACAAGAACAGAAAACCAAACACTGCATGTTCTCACTCATAAGTTGGTGTTGAACAATGAGAACACATGGCCACAGGGAGGGGAACGTCACACAACGTGGCCTGTAGAGGGGTGGGGGTCTAGGGGAGGGATAGCATTAGGAGAAATACCTAATGTAGATGACAGGGGGATGAATGCAGCAAACCACCATGGCACCTGTATACCTATGTAACAAATCTGCACATTCTGCACATGTACCCTAGAACTTGAAGTTAAAAAAAAGTCTGAGAAACATTTAAAGAGTCAATTGAGGCATATGCAATGCAAGAGTATCAGGGATGCTGGAGCTTCAGCCTCAAAAGGGCTATCACCAGAACGATGGCCCAAGGGAAAGAAAAGCCTTCCTTTAATTGAGCACCCACCAAGTGGATCTAGGGGGCATGTAGGGTTAGTTCAGCTTTTAAAAAGCCCTCAGAAATAGGCTGGGCATGGTGGTTTATGCTTGTTATCCCAGCAATTTGGGAGGCGGAGGTGGGCGGATCACCTGAGCTCAGGAGTTTGAGATCAGCCTGGCCAACATGGTGTAACCCTGTCTCTACTAAAAATTCAAAAATTAGCAGGGCATGGTGGTGGGCACCTGTAATCCCAGCTATGTGGGAGGCCGAGGCAGGAGAATTGCTTCAAACCAGGAGGTAGAGGTTGCAGCGAGCTGAGATCATGCCACTGCACTCCAGCCTGGGTGACAGAGTGAGACTCCATCTCAAAAGAAAAAAAAAAACCCTCAGAAATAGAGGAAAAGCCAAAGCTAGGATTCAACATTATCAAGAATTTAATTATCTTTGCAATATAATTTGTATTTTATAATATAACACTGTATTACATAGGTATAACTTCTATATGTAATCTATAAATTATATACTAGATATAACTATATTAATTTTATAATATAATTTATTAATTGTAAAGCTCTTAATGATCAAGAACTGAGCAGAAGTAGCCTAGGTGTTCCAGTCTCTTCTAAGGCTCTCTCAATTATCTGCCACGGTCTAGAACCAAGGGGCCCTCCTGACACCATGAAGCCATCATCCAGCTCAGACCAGGGCTTAGAGGCCAGGTTCTGGGCCCTCATCCAGCTCAGAAGAGGGCTTAGAGGCCGGGTTCTGGGTTCATGCAGAGCCGCTGCACCTATTCCTCTTCCACCCCTGGCTCTCTGAGTCTACAGCTCCTTGTCTATGAAATGGGAATGCCCCCAAGTCAAAAAGTGAAGCCTCAATGAGACAACACATTGCATACACTGCCGGTGCTCAGTGAACTGCAGACAGTATCCTTTTTACAATGGTTAGATCTCAACAAAAGAATTTATTTTGCGGCTGGGTGTGGTGGCTCACACCTGTAATCTTAGCACTTTGGGAGGCCTAGGGACATGGATCACTTGAGATCAGGAGTTTGAGACCAGCCTGGCCAACATGGTGAAACCCCATCTCTACTAAAAATATAAAATCAGCCAGGTGTGGTGGTGCATGCCTGTGATCCCAGCTATTTGGAAGGCTGAGGCAGGAGAACTGCTTGAACCTGGGACGTGGAGGTTGCAGTGAGCCAAGATCACACTACTGCACCCCAGCCTGGGCAACAAGAGTGAAATTCCATCTCAAAAAAAGGGAAAAAAAGAATTTATTTTGCAAAATGGTTAATGATAGGCCTTTGGTATTCTCTGTCCATTACGATGCCATGTACCAGGTGGTAACTGAAGCGAATTAAAGGTAAAATGTGCAGAAGCAGATGCAAATTGCTGGTATGGCATTAGTCCTGGAAGCATACATGGCAAAACACTGGGGACAGTCTTGTGAGAAAGGCCAGGAGAAGCTTGGATCAAGGGTGGCTTCAAGTCTACAGCAAAACCCGCAACAAGCTCTGTGGGCAGAGAGACCAACCTCAGCAGGCTCTTCAAATCGCAGGAGGCCAGGGTTAGAAATAACAGGGACTTAAGCTTGGGGACATCATATGAAATGAGCCAGTCATAAAACGATAAATAGCATATGACGCCACTTATTTGAGCTATCTGGAGCAGTCAAACTCATGGAGACAGAAGGCTGGTGGTTGCTAGGGGCTGGGAGGAGGGAAATAGAGTTGCTATTAATGGGTCCACGGTTTTACTTGTTGCAAGATGAAGAGTTCTGGAGACTGGCTGCATAACAATGTGAATGTACTTAACACTACTGAACTGTACACTTATGAATCGTTAAGGTAATGTTACAGGTAAATTACCATAATTTTAAAAAATGACGGTGATTTTGCCGTGGTGGCAGTATACCTGGGGTGAGAGAATGTGAGAAGAAAGGGCAACTTCAACAGTTTTAGCAACTGGCATTCCATCAGGGACCAAACAAAAGCCTCCCTGAGCCCTGGAAAGGCTATACCGGGGCTGGGCTACACAGTAAAATTCTTTTATTTTATTTTTATTATTATTTTTTTTAGCTGGAGTCTTGCTCTGTCACCCAGGCTGGAGGGCAGTGGTGCAATCTTGGCTCACTGCAGCCTCCACCTCCTGGGTTCAAGCAATTCTCCTGCCCCAGCCTCCAGAGTAGCTGGGATTATAGGCGCCCACCACCATGCCTGGCTAAATTTTGTATTTTTAGTAGAAACAGGGTTTCACCATTTTGGCAAGGCTGGTCTCAAACTCCTGACCTCAGGTGATCCGCCCGCCTTGGCCTCCCAAAGTGCTGAGATTACAGGGGTGAGCCACTGTGCCTGGCCCACGGTGTCTCTTGGGGCCCTTCTGGTATATCCTAGGGGATGCAGGGAGATGAGAGAAGAGACACTACAGAGAAAACCTCTGCCTTGTGACAGTGGGCACAAAAATGGAAGGGGCTTTCCTGGAGGGTAAGCCCTCCATCACTTAAGGTGCTTAAGCAGAAAATCTGGGTGCCATCTGCCCTAATCCAGGCCTCTAAACCAGAAGGTGGCTCATTCCACAGAGGGTGAGGGAACAGTGACCTATGCAGGCTCATTCAGGTGCTCTGCTCCCAGGACTCTAAGGAATTTACCACATCCTGCAAATGAATCTTTTTTTTTTTTTTTTTGAGACGGAGTCTCGCTCTGTTGCCCAGGCTGGAGTGCAGTGGTGCAATCTCCGCTCACTGCAACCTCTACCTCCCAGGTTCAAGCGAGTTTCCTGCCTCAGCCTCCCAAGTAGCTGTGATTATAGGTGCGTGCCACCATGCCTAATTTTTTGCATTTTTAGTAGAGATGGGGTTTCACTGTGTTAGCCAGGATGGTCTTGATCTCTTGACCTCATGATCCACCCGCCTCAGCCTCCCAAAGTGCTGGGATTATAGGCATGAGCCGCTACGCCCAGCCTGCAAATGAATCTTAGGGTGATAGCATACTAAAGTTGGTGCAAGGAGCGTTTACTGGGACCCTGCCAGATCCTAGGTACTGAGTATTTTCTTCCACACCTTTTAAGAAAAACATACGCAGAATCCCATACACGTGTTCCAAGAAGAATGGACACTTCAGAGGGACTTGATGGGTTCACCTCCCTATGTCTGAGGCCTTCTGGTGCCTGTAAAGCTTAAAAGATATCAGCTGAGTGCTATTTCAGAGATAAGCCAAGTTTCACACAGGAGACTGGATTAGAGAAGTGTTAACTTCCTGCTTACTCTAAAACTCCATGCTTTTAGGTTCAACGATTAATATGAAAAGCGGGACAAGGGCAGCAGGACTTTAAGAAAGGTCAGTGCTACTCTTATTTTTTTTTTTTAAATCACAAATTACCTGGCTCCTCCAAAATACCCATCCTCTAGTTTTCTAATTGTGGAAAGCACAGCAGAATGAATGTCTGAACCATCATTTGCTAAGGAAAAAAAGAAAGGGATGAATTAGTTTAGTCTGGGAAGACTTTTTTCCCCCTGGTATGCACTGAAACATTTTCATCAACACCATCTAATTAAAATACTTCTGGCCTAGAAGATTCCCAAGATAAGAAACCAAACTGCTAAGAAACCCCTTCAGTGCTTTGTTGTGGCCATGGGAGTCATTTCAAACATTTGTAAAAGCCCAAACCACCCCTGGAGCAGGAGGGAGCCTGCTGAAATCCCTGGAGTTACTGAGCATGGTGCGGCTGATAGGGAAGGTGAGCGTGGGTCTGCCCGTCATCCTCCAGCAGGTGCACAGGTAGGCCAGCTCGATCCTCAGCATCTCCACGATCATCTCATTATCGAGGGCCAGGTAGAAGTGATGCTGGTCAGTGAACTGAAAGTCAGAAGAGGCCAGGTCAACGGCCACCCTTCATTTACCTGAAACACCAGCTGACACTCAGGGCAGCACTAATCCTGGGGTTTTATTGCCAGGCAAGAAACTCAGTGCTGGTTTCAATCCACTAGGTCACTGGGCTGCCCTGCTCTAGATCAGACAAATCGGTCTGCTGCCGGCCCAGGAGCAGTCGCTATAGTGTGGAAGAGAAAGGTGTGGTGCTAGATTTATTTTCAGCACCTCAGATGGGGATTTAAGCATCTTGCCCAACACGACTGTCTCTGAAAGCAAATCAATAACTCCTTAATTCCTATTCTTTCCAGGGCTATGGGTTCGAAGATGCTTTCCAAGTGGGGGCACCGTGAGCAGGTGAGAGGTGGACACTCTGTTTACCTGATTGATAGCTTTGGTTAATGTCACCTAAAGACACTGCTGCCAGATGTTGAGAACAAATCAAATTGTTCTCTTGGCCTCTGGACTAGCGCAGGCTCAGCTCTGAACTGAAATCTGTTACTAAAGGAAATGGCTTGCAAGATTTCAGTGAGGAGCAGGGGCTAAGATGAAAAAGAGCAGTTTGGGGCTAGTGCTCCAAGACCCCATGACCACCCCTGTGCCCAGGTGAGCTGGGGCTGTGCCCCGCGTGGCCAAAGTGATCTCACTGTTGGTCTTTCTAGCTGCCCAAATGGGTGAAAAACATTTTCTAGGTACTTCCACAGGACTAGTTTTCTTTGGAACCCAAAGCTCTGCAGATAAGTTCCATAATCAGTATACTCAGTAACCCAGTAAGGGGAGTGGGGCCAGAAAATCAGCGTGGCTATGTGTTAGCAGAGGGTCTGATGACAGCTTGCATAAGGGTCAGAGATGACTGTGATTAGGGGCGCAAGGACTGTAAGTCAAGTGTCAGGTGACATGTCAACAGCAAACCTCTAAAGTAGTCTGAGTTTCACTACTATTTATGACCGGAAGTGATGGCATACGTGACTCAATCAACATTTACTGAGTACCTACTATGGGCAGACTTGTACCAGACACTGTGTGTCATTTCTCATGTCTCTATTTGAACCTATGCATGCAGAATTCTGCCATATTCATAGGGGAAAAGTTTACCAGACAGCCAAGAGAATGTAAGTAAAAAAAGAAGCTCATTGGCTTGCTGTTGGCCTGCTCTCCTCACCTGGGGTGTAAAAGTAAAGATTTGGTTCCTAATCACATATAGTTTAGAGGTTCCAAGGACACCAATATGTCGATACGGTCGCCCACTCAAATTCATATTCTTATTCCGTCCTGTTTGAAGAGAAAAAGAGAAACCGGAGTTAGAGGAAATACAGTAACAAGTAATCCAGGCGACTCAGGCTAAGACTGAGCTCATTTCTAGATTAGACAACCTACTTTGGGGCTTGGTTATTCTATTGCCATCATCCTTTAAAATGGCACACAGCTGAATATAAAAACAAATCCTACCTCCCTTCTTTTCATGAATGTATAGGAACAGTACTCAGTTGGAACTGCATGGAATAAAACTACTAAAAGGATTACAGAACGTTTACTTTTGATTTATTTAGTATTGAGCCATCATAGTAAACAAAGTTAGATTCTAGAAAAAGCAGAGAGAGGCCGGGCGTGGTGGCTCATGCCTGTAATCCCAGCACTTTGGGAGGCCAAGGCAGGTGGATCACAAGGTCAAGAGATTGAGACAGTCCTGGCCAACATGGTGAAAGCCCATCTCTACTAAAAATACAAAAATGAGCCAGGTGTGGTGGGCACGCCTGTAATCCCAGCTACTTGGGAGGCTGAGGCAGGAGAATCGCTTGAACCCAGGAGGCAGACGTTGCAGTGAGCTGAGATCATGCCACTGCACTCTAATCTGGTGATAGAGCGAGACTCCACCTCAAAAAAATAAAAGAAAAAGCATAGAGAACCTCCTCCCATTTTAATGGGTAAATGAGCATTTTCTGATACTAAAGGTAAACATGAGAAGCATCATCAAGACACAAATGACTTTCCCAATTGTGAATTTTCCAAGGTGGCTCCTTACTTTACAACAGATCCAGCGAATGCTGTGGCCACCTGTGCTGGTACCCACTGAACGGGTGTGGGAAGAGCGTGCTGGTTTGCCTGTTCCTCTTCACACCAAAGCATGGAACTGCCCACTTTAGTGTTTTGTCCAACTCATTAGAACTTACGTATATCACAGTTTCCCTCAGACCCCAAACCTAGAACCGAGATGTCCCCAAGCCAAAAATGCCCTAGTAATTTCCACAAACCTACCAAGCTTGGCATATATGTGACTAAGAATCCGGCCTGGCTGGACTCGAATTGGATGAATGTCTGCGATACTCTGGACGTTCACCCCGTGTTTCCTCAACAAGTTCTTAATGTGATTGTTTTCTGCCAAAACAGTAACTGTGAACAAGAGCACAGAATGAGTGGTAGCTCATGACTCTTGTCTCTTATGGACACACGTTCCTTACTGCTCTCTTCCGCCTGGTGACATACACATTAGCATGCTCTTCCATGCCATGACTGGATTTGGAAATGACAGCATTTGTCCTGCTGCTCCTCCCCGTTCTGTCCTTGCCACCCCTCAACACCCCTGAGGCCTATTTATCAAGTGCCCTCAATGTGCAAGACAGTCTGATAAGAGACTTCTAGAAACTATCCTCAGTAAGTCCCAAGCCAAGTCACCCAGTCTCATGTAATGTCCTGCCTCCCTCTGGGTCTGCAACTGTTCTAAACCTGCCTGGTGTCCCTTTTCGTGTAGGGTCAGGAGTGGAAACAGCTCTGCTTGGAGGATGCCAGAAGCCTGTGCCCCTGATCCCAAAGGACGGGGAAAAGAAAAGTAAGATGGGGTATCTGCTGGCAGGGGAAGTTCTGATTGAGGGGGCGAGAAGGAAGAGATATCCCTCTAGAGAAAGCAAAGTGGGCCTGTGAGTGAGGATGCTGGTGGTAGTGGAACAGCCTGGCCTATTCAGAACCCCTGCACAGGGCCCCACTGGTGGGGAAAAATCACCCCAGGGCTGGCCTGGGCCCCATCTCTGGTGGGAGAGGCTGGGCACCTGGCTCTCCAGCAGACAGGGAGCTCATAGTGCCTGGGACCTGGGGGCCCATGGAAGAGGGAGGCTGTCACTGGGGAACCCCCAGGATCGGCTAAGTCTGCACCTGCTGTACTAGTATTGCTAGCCTTTCTCAGAAGGGACAGCGCTTTGGCAAAGGGAAGGACTCCAGGGACGGGACTGGAAAAGGGGAGCATTGCCACAGGGAGAGAGGTTGGTGCCATGTCCAGCTGTGGTGGGGGCTGGAGAGGCTCAGGGTGGTGCAGGATTGGCTACCGGTAAGTATAATCACTGTACCCACGGGCTGGCAGGGTGGAATGTACAATACATATACATGCAGTTGAGAGCTGAGTGCCACCTCCTTCTATTTACATGGCACTTGATGCCTTTTCAAGTATTTTCATAGCCATTATCTCATCTGACCTTCACAACAAGGCCCGAGGGAAGCCTTGCATATGCAACTGGCCAGTGACAGCTGCACGTGGACCGAAACCTCATCTCCCAGGCCCTCAGCAAATGGAAGCATCAGCCATGCAGGGCTGGCTGGGTGGCTTCCCTGAACACCTGTCTCTTCTAAAGCTTCCAATGACATGTGAGACTCCACAATGATCAAAACCCCAGCAGCCACTCTCTGTAGGAGTAACTCCTTTAGAGCAGTGGTTTTGGGGGAGGCCTGGGAGCCTCACGATCTGTGCAGCAGGATGTGGCTAAGGTTCTAAAACTGCACTTCCCCTACTCTATGCCTGACCTGGGAATTTCTACGCTGTTCTGTTACACTAAACAAATGCTAGTGAACACCCATCAAAGTGCCCCAGTCTGCAGTTAGAAAAATGGTCTTGTCGATTCAAGGGATTAATTAGCAGGCCGTGCTCTGGCTTAGCGCAGGGACAATGGAGTCCAGCTGGATCAGTCCGCCTGGAAGTCAGGAATGGTTTCACACCTTCAGCTGTCAGCTGTGGCTCCTTGAGGGGGGTGAACTTCTAAGCCTCGTGTATAAGGTGGAGATGACGATCATCCTCACAAACTTTACCTAATCAGAATGTTGTGATAGGTGTATCTCATGGCTCTACTGACTGGGTGATATCAGCTCATCTCACCACAGCATGAGCCCCCAAAGCAAAATGAACCAGTGGCCACAGAGAAATGCTTGCCATTTTGTTCAATCACCATTTTCAATGTATGGGTGTGTATGTGCCAATCAACATAGAAATTGCAAGAATGATATGAGCCTTGTCATTAAGAAATATACAGTCTCATTTAGGGGCAATAAGGTGTACACACAACGTGCTATGACATTAGAACTCCAGCCAATGGAGTTCAAACACAGCAGTAAGGACAGCCCCAAATGCAAAAGGGATAAATTTGTGTGTGTTCTTTGTTCTTTGTATTCTCATGGCAACATGGCTAGTGAGTACTCTTCCTGCAGTCCAGGAAGTAAAAAATTGTGTTGCTGAAAGATCCTTTGTCTCAGTGCTAATTTTTCTTTGTGGCACCAAGCATCTACTTCCAACATCTATTTCCAACAGATGGTGTGCTCTATGGGGCACACAGAATGTTACCGGACTGCCAGGAGGTCCTCCCTAAGAGGGAAGGTAGGAAGAGGAACAGCTGCACGTGGGTGCACACCATACCCCAGGCACTACACCAAGCACTTTCCCCACTGCAATCTCAGTCCATCTTAGGAAGCCCCAGAGAGGGAGCTCAAGTCTTGATGACCCTGAGGCACAGAAGGGTGAAATCACTTGCTAGGTGGATGGCAGCAGTAGCTTGGGCCGGTGTCCCACCTCTCCAGGAGAAGGGTTGGCTGGAGAGGAGGGGGAGGAAAGGTGGATACAGGCAAAAGGCGGAAAGACGTCAGGGCTCCAAGGGAGGAATGAACGACCTTCAGTTGGCTTCTGTGTTTTCACCAGGCTTAGGCTCTATTTTTCAAAGAATAACGATTATGAAAAATGACGCACAATGAATCACTTGTGCCCAACTTGCAATCAAGGTTTATATTCAAGAAAACAATTGCTTTGTAGAAAGTCATTTTGTGGTTGGGAAGAATTCTGTTGCATTTGGGAGCCACTGAGTTATACAAGGCATCTGACAGAACTGCTACATGCTAAAGCATAGGCACATACACAATTCTAAAAAATGAAATAAGAAACTAGGAAACACTATGAATTAAAATAACATTGGTTTTACAAAGTTAAACATAAATAGCAAACACACTCACAAACCTTGTACCACAACATCAGGTTTGACTGAAGTGGAAAATCTTCTATTTAAGGGATCGATTTCACCAGTGGCAAGGAATCCCTATGAAAAAAGGAACATTAACACTATGAAATATTAAGTTAAATTTCATCTTAAACTGAAGTGTGAAAACGAAATATTTTGAGGCTCAACATATTCAATGCTTTTTTTATATTTTTTGAGTCAGTTGCTTATTTTCTGTGAAACAGAGTAACATCGTTCAAATCGCCACTGATAAACGTATTGCATTTTTGCACCTAGCTCTCTAGGGCTCGTCGAATATGCCACCATCTTGTATGAGCAAAAAGAATGATAACCAATACTATTTGAGCTCTCAGTAACGTGCCAGGCATTGTGTTGTGTCACTATATGTGGACTGTCACATTTATGTCTCCTGACAGGTAGGCAATACTGTTGGGGCTCAGAAAACACCCCCCCAAATGAAAGCCTCAGCAGCAGCCTCAGAAGCAAAAGCTTTCCTCTGACCTTCTCCTGCCTCCCTCACTCAGTCCATTCTCCCGGAGGCACCCTGGAAACTAGAATCCCTCTTCCCAAAGGCGGGGCATAGAAACCAGAATCCCTTTTTCCCAAAGCCAGCCAAAAAAACCTAAAAATATTCTCTGTAAAAACTAGCCATAAAAAATTCCCTGACCTACCTTGTTTGGCTGTAGGTCATAAGGGCCCCACACCCAGCAGGAAGGAGCGCTGCACAGAGAGGCCAAGAAGAATCTAGACAGAAAGGCCTCGCTGGGTTTCCCCACTCAGGCCATTGGTATTCAATTGGGCCCTTTTTGGGTAATCACATTTATACACAGCTGTCCATACTTTGTTGAAACTATGTGTAAAAATGGACAATTTCCCCTAGATCTTGGGGTCTTCATTCTGAAGGCTCCCCTGTATACATGTTAAGTACATCTGCATGCACTTTTTTCTTATAAATCAATCTGCCTCGTGTCAGCGACTTTTCATCAAACTTTTAGGGGAACGCCTTGGCCCCTATACTACCACCGTCATCACTGTACAGGTGGGAAAACCAAGGTAATGACTCAAGGGAAGTGGCAGAGTGGGAACTTGGCCCCACCACCCCCACTTGCTTGCAAAGTATTCTCTTCGAATATGGACCTCCTTGTACTTTCTACAAATGATCTGAGCCCCGAGAAGGAGGATCAAGGTATTCTGGGAGTTCTGAGGAGAAATGGGCCTAGTACTGGGCCCAGAGAAAGCCTTCATATCAGGGAGCAGAAAGCAGGGGAGGGGAGTTACTGGTTTCCCATCTCACTGATACAGAAATCACAGCTGGAAGGTATCGCAGAGATGATCAAGTCCAACTTTTTCACTTTACAGATGAGGAAACCAAGGCCCAGAGAGGTTAAAAACTCGCCCAGAGTCAGAGAACTACTGAGAGACAGGGCTGGCTTTCAAAGGAGATATATGCATTTTCCCTACTAATAAACACAGGAGTGGAAGATGCAGCACCTACTCCAAAGACATGACCAGGACCCTGGGGAGTCTAGAGGTACCCATGAAACAACTGCTCCAGCTTGGCTGCTAGAGTTCCAGAGGGCTGCTTCCACGGTGGTATCTTTCATCCTGGGCTTCGACACTCTGGGAACCCGGTGGCATGCTGACCCACCACCCTTTCGGCCTTTTCTAGAGCCCGGCAGCCCCTTGACCCTTCCCTGGGCTCCTTCCCCTCCCCACTTCTCCTTGCACTCAGCTGAGCAGGACCTTCTCAGGAAGGACATCTGTTAAGGTAACTCATACTGAGGACTGGGGGATTCATTCTGAGGCAACTCCAGAGTATTTGCATATTAAAACAAAAGCCTGGGGACAAGTCAATACGGAACAAAAAGTGGTGTCCAGAGGCAGTTGTCTGCAGAAGGAAGGGTGCTGTGGGTTGTCTGAGGAGATACCTGACACAAAATCCACCAGAGAAAATCTGGCCTGCCGCCTCTTTCTGTAGAGAGATCTGTGGTTCTTGCACTTCCTGCACCTAGGACTGGGGCAGGGGCAGCTGGGGCTGATCTAGTCATTTCCCAAATCTTGTATCTTCTAGGATCAGATGTGTTAATAATCCTGGCCAAGAAGCTTCCAGCTCCTCTGACCATCACGTGAAACAGGTTCCAACCACAGAGGAGGAATGCTGGCAGGGGCGATGGGGAGAGCTGGGCCTGCCTGGACCTGAGCTGGCCTCATGGAAATATGGACACACAAGGCCAGGAGTCGAACCCTGGAGCCAACATGGTCCGGATGACCTTAAACGCATGAAGATGCAAAAGACATCCGCATGTACCCCTGGCAGAGAGTCCCTGTGCCCTTCTGGGGTTCCCTGAACCTCCAATCACATGGTTTACAGTCTGTGAGGCCACCAAGCCCCCTACCTCTGCCAACAGTGAGCTGAGGATGTACAAAGATTGGCCCCACAGATGAGGCACCTTCCCCATAGGAACTCGGTCCACAGTGTGAGGGTTCTTGTACTCTTCATCTACCTGGAAACAGAAACAAATCCAAAGTCAGAAACTCAGAGGATAAAATGTCCATGATACCTGACCCTGGGGAGTGCGCTGATGATTTACAGAATGGTATTCATCCTCCAGGCCAATTCCATGCAGGCGCTAGGATACTGGGGCGCAAGCTCCTTCCTCAGGGCTGCAAGGCTATATATAAAGCAGTGGAGGTGGAAGTCAAATTGCGGCCTGGTTCTGGACAAGTGTCCTTCCTACAGGCAAATGCAAGGTCATGACACCAGATGTCTGGCCTGCCTTCTTTGTGGCATGGCTCTGGCTGTGAGAAGGCTCACAGCTCATGCTTACATTTGGCTGCATTATAGGTGAAATGATGGAAAACATCAGCCTCCAGCTGTGGCGGTGCATCACTGGAAGCCATCCCTAGGGGTTTATAAACTGTGCGTCTAACGCAGGAGAACTGCCAGAAGGTGGCACTATTTACTGTGGAAAAACACTTGCACTACTAGCCTGCAACTGCTCCTTCAGGGCCTCAAAAAGCTCAATCCACTGGGGGCTTCTGTCTCAGCAAAATCAACTTTGGTGCTTTATGGACAGAGCTGGCTGCGCATTGTAAGCTAGTCCACAACCTTCTCTCTTCTAAACTCCATGCTGCGCTTTGCCATTTTAGCCATCACATCATTGGTTGGGGGTAATGTCAGTGACTGCTTTTTTCCTCCAGAAAACATAAGTCAACCAAAGGAAACAGGCAACATCTTTCTCCTAAGGGGAACATCACACCACAGGGGAGTCATTTTCTGCTTGTGGATTAATCAGTGATGTTATTAATATATTTTAGTAAAACTGCAGCAAGCCACCTTGCCATGTATGTACCTATGCAACAATCCTGCATGATATGCACAGGTACCCCAGAACCTAAAGTACAATTAAAAAAAAAAAAAGATGGGTTTAAAAACTAAAATTAATAAACTAAAAACTTTTTTTAAAAAAAGAAAAACTTAAGTGCATGAACTGAACAGAACTAAATGTCATTAGTAATCAAATAATCCAATAGGATAAAAGTGTGGAAGATTCTCCAAAATGTCATAATCTTTGGGTAGTAGAATTAGAGATAATGTTTTCTTCTTTCTACAGAATCCTAATGTTTTGTAGTGTACAGAATTACTTGTATGATAATCAGGTAGTATGTGAAAACTATTTGAAATATAAGTCGTGTTAAGAAAGACTGCTAGGTTGGCACGGTGGCTCACGCCTATAATCCCAGCACTTTGGGAAGCCGAGGTGGGCGGATCACCTGAGGCTAGGAGTTTAAGACCAGCCTGGCCAACACGGCGAAAGCCTGTCTTGACTAAAAATACAAAAATCAGTTGGGCATGGTGGCAAATGCCTATAGTTCCAGATACTTGGGAGGCTGAGGCAGGAGAATTGCTTGAACCCAGGAGGTTGCAGTGAGCCAACATTGCGCCACTGCACTCTAGCCTGGGTGACAGAGGGAGACTCTGTCTCAAAAACAAAAACAAATAACTGCAAAGATCTAGAATGAGAAATATTCAGTGCAAAGAGCAGAGAGCAGACAAGGTGTCCAGGTCACAAGACAGCCTGGATTTGCACTCTTCCTACCCATAAGCCAGCTCCTGCCCCACATGGAGGCGTCCCTCTCCGCTTCTCTGCACACTGGTCCTTCCGAACTGCCCACAGGTCCTCAAAGGTGCCATGCCTTTGCTGCCGCCTCTGCTGCCCTCCATCTCATAGGCCAGATCCTCTGGCCCCCGCTAACCTGCAAGCTCATGGGGACAGAGCTGGTGCTGTAGCCCACCTTGTGACCCAGTAGCTAGCCTGGTGCCTGCCACAGAGCGGGTGCTCAATTCATGTTTGCAGGAAGTTTCACTGTCTCCAGTTGTCCACGGAGGGCCTCATGCAAGGCGGTGCCCTGTGCAAGCACCTCCAGCTGAGGAAATGAGTGGGGCTGACATCCAAGCTGCATGCCACCCTGGCCTGGGGCTGCTGCCACTCTGATGAGCCCCTTTATCTAATTTGCACACAGGTGCCACATGGCCCTGTGGTGGCCCTGTGTGCAGAAATCCTACCCGGCGGTCTCTACATGTTATTGATGTGACTGAGGAACCTTCCCAGCTGCCATCTGGAAGCAGCCAACACAAAATGCAATCAGTGTCAAAGAGTGTGCAAAATTGGTGCCTGGCACACCTGCATACACACACTAAGGACATTGTAATGACATGCAGAAACCCAAAGGTCAGTGTGGAGTTTAGAAGAGAGAAAGTCATAGAGTAATTTTTTACAATGTGTAGTCAGCACTGCTCATCAGAAAGAAAGAAAAGGGTAGCTCATAACATCTAGCATTTACCACAGTCAATAAAACATGCCCTCTAGTTTGCATGCCTCTTCTCTACCACAGAATAAGTAAAATACCCCTGAAGGCATTTATTTTCCCTTGCTCTGCTTCTAGGTTCCAAACGACCTCTCATTACCAATTCTGTTTTGCCAAATGCCTCAGTACTGGGAAAGGAGCAACCTGAAGGGGGATATGAACACGTAGCTGCTAGGTCACCCAGCCTCCACTGCCAGCCCTGCCCCAACCCACACACTGCAGTACGTGTACTAAAAAGAATGCACTCATTTGCAGGGAATCTAGGCTGAGGACACTTACAGGGAACAGCCCCAGCAGGCTCCCTGGACTGATCCGCAGAGTGAGGGAAGACAGTTCCTGTCCAAAGTCTGGCCCTTAACCCTGGAACAAAATCAGTCCTGAGAGAGCTCGGATGATGTGGGCTGTCAGTTCATGATGGGATGAGGGGCCATCAACATCCCGGAGCTCAGGGCTAAGGGTCCAGGCTGGTGGGACTTGGTGAGCCCACCTGGAGCAAGTGGCCACCTCAAGTGGCCCAGTGAACCAGATGGGCTAATATAAATGCAAAAACCTGAATACTTCCGGCAATAGCACATTCTACTCATGGAAAGTCAACTCTTTCCTTTGATTTTCTACTTGGTTTAACTGTTTCAATGATCTAACACATAATAGTTCCTTTTAGATGAAAATATCGCCCAAAGTGATACATGGTGGTACCTCTTTTGCTTTAAGGACCAAGTATCAGACTCCTGGAAAAGTAAAGAAGTCCACTATACCACTGCTTTCAGAAGCCTAGTGAGAGCATCCACTGTGGATACTTCCATTATCCAGAAATGTACCACCCATTAGGAGGCAGCATGGGGTGACAGCAAGGCCCTGAACCTGGGTTCTGGCCCCAGAGCGGAGCCCAGTGCTATGTGAGCTCTGACAGGTTCCACAGCCTAGCTGAGCTAAGGCAGACACTTTAAAAGGCCCTGCCAGTTCTATGGCCATGTGCGTGTGGGCCTGATTTAACCACAGAACACCTAAACCCAAGTCGCTGTATGCCAGGCCTCTGCTGGTTTACGACCTCCTCCAGGCCCTGGTGATTTGGGGGAAGACACAGCCCTCTGAAGGTCTTTTCATCCCACAAACACGATAATCAAGCTTTGAGGCACCAGGAGCATCCGAGGGACAGCCTAGAACCAAGAACTCTTCTCTTTTAACCATGAGATATTGACAGAGAAATCTTCCTGCCAAGATAATAGGTCCATCCTGACCCAATTTAGAAAACTTGAAAGAATAAAACTATGTTTGGGTATTTTCTTGAAACTGGACTGTTTTTCTCTCCCAGATGTAGAATAGCTTCTGATTATTCAAACTTTAGCTTGCAAACTGCTTGAATCAAAGGAAGAGATTCTGAATATCCCTGTACCTCTGGCTTCTTCGTCTGTGGAAGTATGTAAAAACATGGTGCACAACAGAGGTTTATGTTCTTTAGAGAGCCTGTGTCAGGGTTGCGGGAGGGACAGGTAGCCTTTGAAGGTCTTCAACTGCTGCCTCCACATGATACCCATGGTCAAGCACGTTCCACATATTTTTCCAAAGCCATGTTTCCTTGGGATAGACAGGAACACTACCTAGGGTTTTTTTTTTTTTTTTCCCAAAGCCACAATTCCTTGAGATAGACAGGTAAACTACCTAGGGTTTTCTGCCTTTTTTTTTTTTTTTTTTTTGAGATGGAGTCTTGCTCTGTAGCCCAGGCTGAAGTGCAGTGGCATGATCTCAGCTCACTGTGACCTCTACCTCCTGGGATCAAGTGATTCTCTTGTCTCAGCCTCCTCAGTAGCTGGGACTACAGGCATGTTCCACCATGCCTGGTTAATTAATTTTTTTAAGTGGAGATGGGAGATGGGGTTTCACCATGTTGGCCAGGCTGGCCTCAAACTGCTGACCTCAAGTAATCCACCCGCCTTAGCCTCCCAAAGTGCTGGGATTACAGGCATGAGCCACTATGCCCAGCCTACCTAGGGCTTTTGAAATCACATTTGGAGAAAAGGTGTTCATTAAATCAAAAAGAGGGATAAAGAATACCAACAGACCAAGCAATGAGTCACTTAGTTCTAGATAAGCGGTGCAAAGGGCCCCCTGCCACCGGGTTACCTTGTTAGGCGGGACAGCGTAGAGTTCTGGCACCAGGCGGATCCCATTCTTGCCTCTGATGAGTATTCCCTCTAGGGCCTCTCGGTACTCTTGGACCTGGAAAACAGCCCCATCATCCATGGAAGGAAGGAGGTCTGGTCATGAATGCTCTAACAGCGGTGCAACAGAGACAAAAACTCTCATGGCAACAGATTAGAGTTAGGATACAGGGCACAAATACCCTCAGCTCCAGGAGTGCAGGAGGCACACTTACAGTGTTAGGAGGAGCTAAACACGATCAGCTGTTCCTCCCAGGAGTGTGTCTAAGCTCACCTGTCACGCTTCCAGAAAAGGGACAGAGCACCCATCATGCAGTAGCTGTTTCTTCCTCAAAATTCCTCCAGTAGTCACATCTACACCATGTATCAGATGTCTTTCCTATGCTGTCTTTAACTCATCATGTAATTATTTCACTCCTAACCCATCATATATTTAAAATTTTGTCTTAGCGACCAGATCATAAACTTCTTGTGGGGGAAGCAGTATCTTAAGCAGTGTATCCCATTTCTACCTCTTGGGAAGTTTTCCACTTAAGAGGCATTCATTACTATTCAGCCATAACAAAAGAATAACATTCTGTCATTTGCAGTAACATGGATAGAACTTGAGGTCACTGTTAATTTCACTTAACATTGTGTTAATTTCACTTATTTCACTAAGCCAGGCACAGAAAGATGCCGCATGTTCTCCCTCATGTGTGGGAGCTAAAAAAGTTGACCCCATATTAAAAATGTCATTGCGCAGCAAGTGGGAGAGACAGCACACGTGTAGTAGGATAGGTTACATGAGGCTTAAACAAGATGCTAAGCATAGTCATTTTCCTCCCCTGAGTGTTCTTTCCCCCAATCATTGCTAAGCCTGTTCACAATGGAAATTCTAAGTCAATTCTTTTGAGATCTTTCAATTCTGGGATAAAATGACAGATAATCTAAGATTGTCACTGAAGCCTAAGAGAAAGCATCAACAGTGGGAAAATATTAACATTTACAGCTAACTGCTGGTTCTGAAGCCCCCAGCATTCCTGAGCAGAACTTTCAAGAGCTAAAATGGATCTCTGATTGATCATCCCCACTTCCACCAAACGTGATCAAAACCAGTTGAAAAAAATGGCAAAGCATCTATGATGTCGGTCATTCATGTAAGTTGCACAAGGACAGGTTGGTTCTGCTCAACGAAGTAGGCTCAGGGCTCAGCACAGAGCATGGTACCAAGCAGAAACTAAAGAGATAGGTCTTGAACAAATGAGTGTTGCTTATGTTTACTGTGCATGTACAATGCACTAGGCACAGGGATTATACCCGTGAGCTGGAGAGAGATGGCCTCTACCAGGGTCCTTTGACAGGTAAGTGGGAGATACAACATAGTGTGACCCATGCTGTTACAGTTGTTATGGGGCACAGGGGCACCTGCCCCAGCTTTAAAGGTCAGAGAAGGCTTTCCAAAAGAAGACACACTCACATTGAACCAAGGGAAGGGGGAGGGACAACAGGGGAAGAAAAGAATGTCCTAGGCCTTTCAGAAGACAGGAGGGCACATGGCCTGTTTAAAGGACTGGATCACAGAACTCAAGAAAAGAAAGAAGCACTAAAAAATGAGGCTAAAGGGGTGAAAACAGGGATCAGATCATATGGAACCCCACAAAATGCATGAATTGCTTGTACTTCATCCCAAAAGGAACCAGAAAGCCATTCATAGCTTTCAAGTAAGGCAGTATCATAACCTAATTTGCCTTCTAATAAGATCACTCTGCCACGGGTGAGAAGAATGGAAACAGCAGGGAGCCAGGCCAGAGGTTGAGATTCAAGTTAGGAGGCTGTTACACAAAGTAAGATGTTATAGAAGAGCTCCCCAAGCTAGGACTAAAGACAGCAAAACCACTGGCTGATCTGGAAAGAACAACGGCAACAACAAAACCTGTCTATGATGGACCGTTCTTGCCAGACCCCAGGGAACCACGCCTCCTAGGACTCATGCCCTTGTCTAGTCCCCTCCCACTTGAATATGCGATGGCCCTTGAACCAACAGAATGTGATGAAAGTGACATTTTGTCACTTCCGGGCCTAACACTTAAGGAAGCTTAGCAGCTTCTGCTTTTGTGTTCTGGGGAGAAAACAACCAACATGTAAAACTAATGGCCCAGGGACTACAATTTTGTGAGAAGCCCAAGCTAGCCACGTGGAGGAGAACCATGGCCTCAGCCAACAGCACAGCTGAGCTCCCAGTGTCGGCTGCTAGCCAGCATCAACTGGCCATGTGAGTGAGGCTATCTTGGATATGGATTCTCTACTTCACATGGAACCATCCCAGCTGACAGCAGGTAAAGTAGAGACAATCTGTCCCTGCTGGGCTCTGCCCAAATCGCAGAATCATGAGCAAATAAATAAAATACTGTTGTTTTAATTCACTCAGTTATGGGAAAGTTTGCTAAGTGGGAACAGATAAACCAAACAGTGACCTAAATTCTTGTATTACCCTATGTTCTAATAATAATCGTACAACAGTGGAATGAAAATAATTATCAACATAACACCCAGCATTGTCTCACCTGAACAGCATCACTATTGAAGACTCCATCTATTATAAAATATGTCCAGAACACAGGCCACTCACATTCAATGTTTTCAAAGAGCTTGAGTTCAGCAGGGTCATAATGCAGTCGATTAGGGTCCTAGAATCAAATAAGTCAAACTTTTTAAAGGTGAAATCAGAGTACATACGTAACACCCTGTGCCTCACAACGTTTCCCATGCTTGTCTGATTTTTACAGCTTTGAGGCTGGCATGAGTAGAATTTTACTATAATGAGGAGATGCTGTTTTTGGCAGTTTTCCATGGTAACATTTCAGAAAGTAAGTGAGAAACATACACAAGACTCCTTGGTAGTTTACTATACTAAAGCTTCCTATATCTCTAACAGAGAAATAGCAATATGTCTACCACCAAGTTTGGCAGATGATCTGATTTATATCATTATATTAGTCACTGTGGCAAAGAAACCCAAGGAGGGGACCACAGTTGGTCTTTAAGAAAAATGTGTGAGCCACAGAATTGGTTGTCCTTGTCTACAAGCTGGTTTTATTTATTTTTAAAATTTTAAAGAAATTTATATTTTTTTGAGACAGGGTCTCACTCTGTCACCCAGGCTCAAGTGCAATGGTGTGATCTCTGCTCAATGCAGCCCTGACTTCCTGGGCTCAAGTGATCCTCCCACCTCAGCCTCCCAAATTGCTGGGACCTGCCATCACGCCTGGCTAATTTTGTTTATTTTTTTTTGTAGAGACAAGGTCTCACTATGTTGCCCAGACTGGTCTCAAACTTCTGGGCTCAAGTGATCCTCCCTCCTCAGCCTCCCCAAGTGTTGGGATTACAGGCCACTGCACCTGACCTACAAGCTGGTTTTAAACGACCAGCACACTGTCCCTACTGAAGACACTATTCTATTGCCTGGCTCCAGGCTTACTGACTCCAAAATTAACACTTCCCTTTCCAGTATTCCAACATATAATCAATAGAGGGAGAACAACACAGTGGCAACTTAGAGATGAAACAGTTAAGGAAGCATAAGAAACAATTTTAAATACAACCTCTCTTGGAGTTTTATAACCATCTCGAAGGAAGCGACAGCATCCATAACGCCCCTAATAAGAGAAAGTACATTTGATGAGCTCAGAGGAATTTCATTGCCTTTTTAATTCAAGTCAGCCCTGCACCCACTTTCCCATGAATCTTTTAGTAATGAGTTTTATACCTAGTGTTCTTTGCTGTCAGTATAGTTATTAACATATTTAAGTAATAAGCAAAATCAATTCCGGTTTCATCAGTACTTGGAAGGGAATATCAAAACTTTCCATTGGAATATCAGGGCTGCAAGAGTAATTACCAAGAATTCAGTGAATGACCATGCCTTCATTCTGATTTATTGTATTACATGGAGACCTAAAAGGACCCTCACTATTTAGAAAAGCCACCAAGGCAGATACTTGGATTGGTTTGTTCCTACTTGCAAGATTGGAAAGCTAAAAGGACATTCCCCAGACTCCCGGAAGTTAGGCTCCGGCTGCAGAGGAGGCTCTGCAGGTCAGATGCACCCCCACAAGGGTTAGCAGAAGGTGGGAGGGGGTTCCTGCACTTAGGACTGTTGCTGCTGGTTTTGGGCTGCAGGCTCCAGGGTTCTGCCCCAGCTTCCTGGATGTTAAAAAAGGAGGGCAGGGGCAGCACTCTATTAATTTGACCCCCTAATCCATAGATCGCAGCTTTGGGTGTCCATTCTCCGGTCTGCAGGTGTGTGGAGGCTGCTACAGCAGATGCGGCTCTTGCGACGGTCATGGAGGCAACCACGCCCCCAGCCCTAGCGGCTAGCACTGCACTTTCCTGGGAGTCATCCCAGGAGGCTCAGCCTAGAACCTCCTCTTCTTGTAAACACCTCATTCCCTGCATTCATTCCCTTCCTACTTCAACTACCTAAAGGAGTTCCCCTTTTCCCCCTGAACCCTGAGACAGCTGCTTTCTTATTTTTATTTATTTTTGAGAGTCTTACTCTGATGCCCAGGCTGGAGTGTAGTGGCACAATCTTGGCTCACTGCAACCTCCACCTCCCGGGTTCAAGCAATTCTCCTGCCTCAGCCTCCCAGGTAGCTGGGATTACAGGTATATGACACCACGCCTGGCTAATTTTTGTATTTTTAGTAGAGACGGGGTTATACCATGTTAGCCATGCTGGTCTTGAACTCCTGACTTCAGGTGATCCACCTGCCTCGGCCTCCCAAAGTGCTAGGATTATGGGTGTGAGCCACCGTGCCCGGCCAACAGCTGCTTTCTTTTGGGAATGTGATTGGAGACATAGGGACTCCAAGGGACAAAAACATTTTTCATGGAACCTAAGTAGGACAATCAACATGCAGATTTCAGCTTAGGGAAACTTATATTCTTTGATAATTTACTGACAGTTTTAACTGGCTGGAGTATTTAATAATATTCTCAGTTTAGTGTATCATGGTTACTGCATTTCACCTCAAAACAGGGATTTTTTTTCAACCTGAAAGTAACTTTGGGATTGCCAAGTCCACTGAAATGGTGTGTAAAGTTTGAGGATATTGGGACACATGCAGTTTTTTTTTTTTTTTTTTTTTTTTTTTCTGGCAGTGACTCTATATACTGTTTGTGACCTCTAAAGGGTTAAGTAGCTCTGCCTTAGAAGTATGGTACTGGTATAAATTGTGGTTCACAGGTACCTCCTGGGTGCAAGTTCTGCTACTCAAGGAGAGAACCAAATCACTAAATCACTTGGAGACTTTGTTTTCTTGCCTGTAGACTCAGCTCTGAACGCTTTATGAATCAGTTTAGATAAATCGAGCCATTAACCTCATGGGGAACTAAGGCATGGGTGAGCTACTCCATGCCATCATGTCAAAGTGCACATCACACAGGACAGAAGGGCGCCAGTGATTAATGCTTACCTGGAGCTTAGAAATAATTTCATTTTTGGTCACATTCACAAGGTTTACATCTTCTACTGCAAAGGCCGGAAAGGAAATAATGGAAAGAAGTCCAGCATCAATCTCTTTAGATGTTGATGCTCTTGGCAGCATGGAGAACAGAATTGACTGAATGAAAAACAAAGAGGTGGTTTAACCTGGAGATGCAGTAATAGGCGCAATATCTAGGGACCATGAGTTTAGCCCCAAGGGAACATTCAAACATGGTTGCTGATTTTGAGTACAGCTTTGTCTTACCAACATGGCCCCTGCTAGCCAACCCTGTATACCCAGAGCAATGATTCCTTTTCCTCAGGGATTGGTGAGAGCATGGTACTGCCTGGAGCCCATACTGAGAACTGCTTGTCTCCCTTCTTTTTTTTTTTTTGAGACAGAGTCTTGCTCTGTCGCTAGGCTGGAGTACAGTGGCGCAATCTTGGCTCATGGCAACCTCCACCTCCCAGGTTCAAGTGATTCCCCTGCCTTAGCCTCCCGAGTAGCTGGGACTACAGGCACATGCCACCATGCCTTGCTAATTTTTTGTATTTTAGTAGAGACAGGGTTTCACTATGTTGGCGGAGATGGTCTCGATCTTCTGACCTCATGGTCCACCTACCTTGGCCTCCCAAAGTGCTGGGATTACAGGCGTGAGCCACCGTGCCCCGCCTATCTCCCTTCTTTCCATGCCCTAGGGAAGGAACTATAGGGCCACCTGTGTCAGTAGGCTAAGGTGTCTAGTTATGAAGACAGAGACCAGAAAAGAACACATACAGGGGGCCAGCGTGGAGAAATGTCTGGCTTCTGTGGAATGTGACCAATTGGACTGGGTGACCCAGAAACCACTTAAAAGAGGAGACAAATCCAGAAGATCTCATGAACACTCAGACAAAATGGTAACCCACAGAATTAGTTTAGTCCTAGAATCTTTCTAGGGTTACTTAGAGGCACTATAATATGGCCTCAATGATAAGATGGCAAGATTAGGGACTGGAAACTTGGACAGCAGTTGAAATTATCAGGAAAAGTTTGGGAAAGAAGGAGTTAACACTGAGATCTAACATGTACAGACATGAGGCTAGACCCCTGCAAACATAAGCTCATTGAATCTTTCATATGAAGAAGGACTTAGGGTACCATGTCCAATTCACACCTGAGGACCCTGAGACTTTGAGATAGAGACTCATGTCTAATGCATGCAGCTAGTAAGTGACAGAACTAGGATTCTAACTCAGGCCCAGCTGGCTGCAAAGCTCACGCATTTCCACTGGATTGCACATCTATTAAGATGCACGCCACATCCAGGCACAGTGGCTCATGCCTGCAGCCCCAGAGCTTTGGGAGGCTGAGGTGGGAAGATCGCTTGAGGCCAGGAGTTGGAGACCAGCCTGGGCAATAGAGCGAGCTTTTGTCTTTACAAAAAAATTTTTAAAAAATTAGCTGAGTGTGGGTGGCACATGCCTGTAGTCCTAGCTACTTGGGAAACTGAGGCGGGAGGACTGCTTGAGCCCAGGAGCTTGAGGTTACAGGGAGCTATGATTGTACCACTGCACTCCAGCCTAGGCAATAGAGTAAGACCTCCTCTTAAAAAAATAAAAAAATACACCATCTTGGTTCCATTAGATTACACCCCAAGAAATATCAGGACTACTTAAAGGGGAAAAATTGAGTGAGCTGGAAGGTAGAGTCAAGATGAGTGGAACCCTTCAGCTTCAGAATAAAGCTTTATTTTCTATAGCCAACCGAGCCTGGAGCCCTGTTCTGTAACTCACTCTTCCCTAGAGTTTCTCTGCCTGGAAACACAAACTTTTACCAAAAGCTCTCCATTCAAAATTCTTTATGTATCTGACCCACTTTAGCCCTGGCAACATACTTGGCACACAGTGGGCCCTCACTGAATAAGAGTTTGCTGAGGGTCCAGCAGTTGATGACTTGCACTCTGCTCAATACAATCCCCCAATCTGTATTAGATCACTCCTTTCTCTCATCTGTATTTCACAGAGGTTCTACTCATTTCCCATCTCTCCTGTCTCATTTCTTCCCCACTACCTATTCCACCCATCCCCAACCCCACACCCCCAAGTGAACTAGTGCTTGCTCATCATTCACTTTGGGAGCACTGTGAAATAAGCCTGAAAGAAAACCACCTTTGTGCTCAAAACACAAAAAACAAACTTTGCCTCTAGCAAAACAAGGCTGCTTGGTTCCATCTACACAGCATCACGGTGTCTTACATTTGCATAGTACTTTCTGGCTTACAAAGTGCTTAGACTAAGTTGACTGATTCTTTTTTTCATTTTTTAAATTTTTATTTATTTATATATTTTTTTGAGACAGAGTTTCGCTCTTGTTACCCAGGCTGGAGTGCAATGGCGCGATCTCGGCTCACCGCAACCTCCGCCTCCTGGGTTCAGGCAATTCTCCTGCCTCAACCTCCTGAGTGGCTGGGATTACAGGCATGCGCCACCATGCCCAGCTAAGTTGACTGATTGTTACAACTACCTTGTGAGGCCAGAGGAGAGGGTCCCAAGTTGCCCATTTTATAGGTCAGGAAACTTAAGCTCAAAGAAGCAAAGTATCACCAAGCTAGAAAGGTGGGGAATCTGCACTGGATCCCAGGCCTTCCACACCAGAACTTTCCTTCCCTACTCTCCGGAATGCAAGAGGCTATTACCTGGCAGTGCTCAACCTCATCCGGCAGGACATGAATCACTGACTTACGTCCTCCATGGGCTCCAAAAAGGTCCAGTTCATCAATTGCCTCAAGAGCTGCCTGCAAACACAGGTATAAATTACTTTTTCTTTCTAATAAACATATACTCCAATATCTGGTGCTCCTTTTTCATTAAGCAACCTAGTATACATGTTTTCCCAAAGGTAATGAAACACATTTTAAAAATCCAGCTAGAATCCTATAGTCATGTTCTAGTCTTTTTTTTTTTTTTTTTTTTTGTAGAGACAGGGTCTCGCCATTTTGCTGGGGCTGGTCTTGAACTCCTGGGCTCAGGTTATCCTTCCACCTCGGCCTCCCAAAGTGCTGGGATTACAGGCATGAGCCACTGTGCCCTACCCTATTCTTATTTTCACTGGATCAGAGCTCTCCTGTACATTGCTGCTCATTACAGAAAGAAGAAAGAGAAAACAGAAAAACATTTTCCAAAGTGAAGTTAGTGTTCTACCAAAAAATGAATTAACAAGTTCATAACACTGTGTGGGTGTGTGCACTAAATTCATGAGTCTTTTCTCTCACATGTTTTAACAGTTATCTTCAAACTTCTGGCACTCCAGAAAGTTAATTCTTTTAGTAATAAGTATATTTTCAGTCTGTTTACCTCAACAGAGCATGTTTGTTGTTGCTTTAAAAATTATAGCCCTGGAGGCTCTACCCTGTCCAAAAAATATGCTTCATCCTGGAGGAGGGAAGGAAGGAGGCACCCTATAAGTCTATGGCAAGAGAAGCAAACTGGTAACGCACAGAATAAATCTGCCCTATAGGTGTGTTTTTTTTGGCTTGAAGAGTATTTTATATGAGTTTGAATCAGAATACCTTTAGGGAAAGCTTCCCAGTGTCCCCAATACCTCCCCCACTCCCATCTTTCTGTCTGGCTAGTTTCACTCTGCATCCATTACTTGCCTGACCTTGTAGACTTTTGAACTTGTGAGCCCAACCTACAAAGTGGTGATATTCTTCAGTCCTCTCTGTGACCCAGAAAAGAAGACCGGACATTATACATGCAGCTTATTTAGCAACAGCAAGAGCTTAGACCCGTGGGTGATGGCAGCGGCTAACCAGGATGGGGCACTCTTACTTTCTGCCATGTGCAGATTTCAGCACTGGAAATCTACCCTCTTTACCTAGAATTTCAGGTGGCTGGGGTACCTGTGCCACTTGAATTTCACATACTTGCTGTCGACTTTTGAAAACATATGCTAATCAGATTAAATCCAAACTCCTGATGAAGGAAACAGAATCAAAGCAGTAAAAACGTGCAGAAGGAAGAACAAGCAGGGCAACTGTTACCTTGGCCATTCCTACGGAGCTTGCGTTCAACTCCGGGATGCCCTGATTAGTCTTATCTCCACGCTCCCACATTCCATAATCCTGGGGGAGAAAAAGGTAGGAATCAGAGGGGAGGGAGAGGCATATGAGAAGTGCTATGTGAAAAATGCTTCCTTTATGTTCCCGCAGGCACACTAAAACACAAGTCGATCTTCTTGGAGGCTCTGGAGACTCATACTGTGTTCTTCCTCAATTTCAGTTCCTGAGACCACTGTGCAGAATTTTAGAAGAAAATACTTAAATGGGAAAAAAGTGCACGCCACAACACTCTCAAATTTCTTATTTCTAGAAGGTATTCATTTGTAAGAAACTCTGGATATATGGAGAACAAAATATTTTATCTTCTTAAAATCAAATAAAATGCTGCTTCTCTGTTTAGTCAATGCCTTTGAACTTATATTAAGTTGTAAGATAGAATACAGAAACTTTAGCACATGGCTCATAACTAGTCGAAGCCAACAAAAGCATTTAAAATAATTTAGTACCTACTTTTAGCATTACCTCTTGGGGGAAAAAATGCTCAGCAAGTAACTGGAGCCAAAGTCACAACTGAGACACAGAACACGAACCTACGTGGTATTTACAAACCGATTACCAGGGATTGACTCAGAATGTTGGCACACAGAGGACTTGGTATGTGTGTACGTAACCTATCATTCATATTTTCATTTAAAAACCCACATATGGGATGCTGTTTTGAAACAATGTTATGTACACTACTGAAAGCTGACCACCTAACATAAACAGGACTGATGCCAACAATTCAGTCTTTATTTTTTTTTTTTATCTCCAAAAAAGAATTTTTTTTTTTTTTTTTTTTTTTTTTTTGAGAAAGAGTCTCCCTCTGTCACCTAGGCTGGAGTGCAGTGGCGCAATCTTGGCTCACTGCAACCACCATCTCCCAGGTTCAAGCGATTCTCCTGTCTCAGCCTCCCAAGTAGCTGGGACTACAGGCGCACACCACCATGCCTGGCTAATTTTTGTATTTTTAGTAGAGATGGAGTTTCACCATATTGGTCAGACTGGTCTCAAACTCTTGGCCTCAGGTGATCCACCTGCCTCGGCTTCCCAAAGTGCTGGGATTATAGGCATGAGCCACTGTGCCCGGCCAGAACATTTTCAAAACGTGGAGGCTGAGACTCAGGCATCCTAGAGCAACTTCCCCACCGAGTGTGCCTGGTGACTGAAACTGACTTCTTTCCTTGAGTACTCCTCTCATCTGCACCTTCCTGAGGCCCATCCCACCTTTCTTCCAACCCTGGTGCTGGGTGATTCATCCTCAAAAACTGCATCGATCGCTGCTTCCATCTGCTTCAGGGTCTAAAATGACAAATGGTGAATTTCCTAGTGGATCATATTCACATCTCTCTCTCTGGATGGCCATATGCCCCATGATCTGGCCTTCTTGGACACACCCACAAGCTGGGTTTATTTTCTACTCTTTTCCAAGTCAGCTTTCCCCCTAAGTCTACTCCTTTATTCTGTACCCTTTTCTTCAAGCACCCCCTAGCCCACCCAGCCACACTCAGAGCCTGTTCCTGCCTCTGGGACTGCACAAGCTATTCCTGCACCCAAACTCCCTTTCTCCTCCCTTCTGCTGATCTAAGCTCTGCTCAGCTTCCAAGGTCCAACTCAATGCCCACCCTTTCCACAGACTTCTCAAGTTCCTTCAGACCAGGGTTTGTCAATTTCAGCAGTACTGCATTTCAAGCCAGGTAATCTGCATAGTGGGGGACTAGCCTGTGCATTCTAGGATGTCTAGCAGCAGTCCTAGTCTCAGCCCACTAGACGCCAGTAACATCTACTGCCCAGATGTGACAACCAAAATGTCTCCAGACGTCGCCACATGTCCCCTGGGAGGACAAGATTGCCTCTGGTTGGGAATCACTGCTTTAGACTGGGGGCCAGCGAACTCCAGCCTTTAGACCAAATTTAGTTTGCCACCTATTTTTGCAAAGTCTATCTGGGGCACAGCCATGCTCATTTGTTTATGTGCTGTCTAAGACTGCTTTTATGCTAGAAAGGCAGAGCCAAGTACCTAGGAAACAGACCCTAGATCCTGTAGAGCCGAAAATATTTACTCTCTGGCCCTTTACAGAAAACCTTTGCTGACCTTCTTTTAGATCACAGTGGCTTTTTTTTTTTTGAGTTGGAGTCTTGCACTATCACCCGCCCAGGCTGGGGTGCAATGACACGATCTCGGCTCACTGCAACCTCCACCTTCCAGGTTCAAGCGATTCTCCTGCCTCAGCCTCCCAAGTAGCTGGAATTACAGAGGCCCACCACCATGCCTGGCTAAGTTTTGTATTTTTAATAGAGACAGGGTTTCACTATGTTGGCCAGGCTGGTCTCAAACTCCTGACCTCGTGATCTGCCTGCCTTGGCCTCCCAAAGTTCTGGAATTACAGGCGTGAGCCACCACGCCTGGCCTCACAGTAATCCTAGCACTTTGGGAGGCCGAGGCGGGTGGATCACGAGGTCAAAAGATCGAGACCATCCTGGTCAACATGGTGAAACCCCGTCTCTACTAAAAATACAAAAAATTAGCTGGGCATGGTGGCGTGTGCCTGTAATCCCAGCTACTCAGGAGGCTGAGGCAGGAGAATTGCCTGAACCCAGGAGGCGGAGGTTGCGGTGAGCCGAGATCGCGCCATTGCACTCCAGCCTGGGTAACAAGAGCGAAACTCCGTCCCAAAAAAAAAAAAAACAAAAAAAAAAAAAACAACAACAACAAAACAACCTTTTACCCTTATCCTCCTTCCCCGACAGCTTTGCACACTGGGGTTGTTGTGTAAAGGTCCCTCAGCCTTTGCCTTCCAAACCAGACAGAAGCTGGGAGGAAAGGGGGTTTATATACATTTATACCCAGCAAGTCTGGCCCAAGTTGGGGCTCCGCCTGGCTTGAGCCCCTTTACCTGTGGCCCAATTGGGGTGATACTCATGGCACCCCAGTGCCCACCAAGGTGCTAATGTTACTACCTCTTCAGCCCCAACTCAGGCCAGCACAAATGCATCCCGCAGGACATTTTAGGATCTTATTTCAAACAAGCATAATGGGAACTACCATTTAATCCAGCAATCCCACTCCTGGGTATCTACCCAGAGGAAAAGAAGTCATTATGTGAAAAAGACACTTGCACATGCATGTTCACAGCAGCCTAATTCACAACTGCAAAAACGTGGAACCAACCCAAACGCCCATCAGCCAATGAGTAGATAAAGAAACTGTTAGGTATATGATGGAATACTACTCAGCCATTGGAAGGAATGAAATAATAGCATTTGCAGCAACCGGGATGAGACTGGAGAATGTTATTCTAAGTGAAGTAAGTCAGGAATGGAAAACCAAACATCGTATGTTCTGCCTGATATGTCGGAGCTAAGCTATGAGGATGCAAAGGCATAGGAATGACACAATGGACTTTGGGGACTAGGGGAAAGGGTGGGAAAGGGGAGAGAAATAAAAGACTACAAATAGGGTGTGGTATATACTGCCCAGGTGATGGGTGCACCAAAATCTCACAAATCACCACTAAAGGACTTGAATGTAACCAACACCACCTGTTCCCCAATTACCTATGGAAATAAAAAAATTAAAAAAAATAAAAAATAAAACAAGCATAATGGGCCAGGAGCTGGCTCAGGCCTATAATCCCAGTACTTTGGGAGACCAAGGCAGGAGGATTACCTGAGGTCAGGCGTTTGAGACCAGCCTGGCCAACATGGCAAACCCCATTTCTACTAAAAATATAAAACTTAGCCAGCAGTGGTGGCGGGCACCTGTAATCCCAGCTAATTGGGAGGCTGAGGCAGGAGAATTGCTTGAACCTGGGAGGCGGAGGCTGCAGCGAGCTGAGATCACACCACTGTACACCAGCCAGGGTGACAGAGCAAGGCTCTGGCTCAAAATAAATAAATAGAAATAAAACAAGCATAATGGATTCAGACAGAGCACAGAGTACATTTCAAAATCATGAAACCCCCAACCCTATTCCAGGACAAAAATACGCACTTTGTGTGTGGAGGTGACACAATCTCATAGCTTTAGTCTCGCTAACCTTTTGGTCAGCTGCAAACAGTCTGGCCCTCAAAAAAACTGTATGATTTTTATTCTTTTTTTTTGAGACAGAGTCTCACTCTGTCGCTCAGGCTGGAGTGCAGTGGCATGATATCGGCTCACTGCAACCTTGGCCTCCCACTTCTGCTTCAAGTGATTCTCAGCTTCCTGCCTCTGCCTCAAGTGATTCTCCTGCCTCAGCCTCCCGAATTGCTGGGATTACAGGCTCACGTCAGCATACCTGGCTATTTTTAGTATTTTTAGTAGAGACAGAGTTTCACCACGCTGGCCAGGCTGGTCTCAAACTTCTGACGCCATGATCGGCCCGCTTTGGCCTTCCAAAGTGCTGGGATTACAGGCATAAGCCACCGCACCTGGCATGATATTTACTCTTTTTGATGACTGGCACATCGGAAAAGGCTACCAGGGTTGATACTTACAGCGACTTTATATGCAGCTTCTATGTAAAAGACAAGGTTCTGTATGAAGGCCACCTCGTCGAGGGTGAAAATGATACGTAAGCCTAGCAAAGAAAAACAATGAGGTTATGAAGTCATGTCGCAGAAAGCTGCCCATCACAAATTACAAATATCACACTAGGAAATAAACCCTTTCAACTTCATTTTCATTTTTCTTCCAAAGGCATCTCTGAAGTAAGTCATAACTATTAATGTCTAATCTCAGAAAAGGGAAGGAGGGAAGAAGGGAGGGAAGGAGGCAGGGAGGGAAGGAGGAAGGGAGGGAGGGAGGAAGGGAAGGAAGGAAGGGAGAAAGGGAGGAAGGAGGGAGGGAGGGCTCCACTTTCCTGTGTGTGCCTGAGTAGAAAGGGCTGAGAGAGGTTTGGGACCTCTGGTACAGGTTGGATTGGTGCAGAGAAGGGTCCAACAAAGCAAGGATTTTAGCCCAGAAGAACCTGAGACACTGATCTATCTCTGAGTGAGCCAAAGAGAAGGGCAAATACTTTTCCCAGTGGGAGACAGGGAAAGCAGAGTCGCCAGCTCCAGGAGCTGGCCTTTAATCCTGCGCAAAAATACAGTCAGCTACAACAAATACAGGTATTTTTAAAGTATGAATTCTGGAAGCTGCTATGGATATAATAGGAAACAGACACTTACATCAATGAGGGAAGCTTAACTAATAAGCCAGATTAGAAGTTGAATCAGAACTAAGTTTAGCTAGAAACTGAAAACAATTTGGCAATATATATGAGTTGCCTTTGAGTGATATCTAACTCTCAGAAGGAAGTAAATGAAGATGGGGTCAAGGTTGGTATTGCAACATTAGTTACAATAGCAAAATAAAAGGGGCCAGGCGCGGTGGCTTACGCCTGTAATCCCAGCACTTTAGGAGGCCGAGGCAGGCGGATCACGAGGTCAAGAGATCGAGACCATCCTGGCCAACATGGTGAAACCCTCTCTCTACTTAAAAAATACAAAAATTAGCTAGGTGTGGTGGCAGACACCCATTGTCCCAGCTACTTGAGAGGCTGAGGCAGGAGCATTGCTTGAACCCAGGAGGTGGAGGTTGCAGTGGGCCAAGCTCACGCCACGGCACTCCAGCCTGGCGCCTGGCGACAGAGTGAGACTCTGTCTTAATAAATAAATAAATAAATAAATAAAAGAAAGGGGCTGGGCATGATAGCTTACGCCTGTAATCCCAGCACTCTGGGAGGCCGAGGCGGGCGGATCACCTGAGGCTGGGAGTTTGAGGCCAGCCTGACCAACATGGAAAAACCTCGTCTCTACTAAAACTACACACATATAGTGGCACATGCCTATAATCCCAGCTACTTAGAGGCTGAGGCGGGAGAATTGCTTAAACCCAGGAGGTGGAGGTTGCGGTGAGCTGAGATCATGCAATTGCACTCCAGCCTGGGCAACAAGAGTGAAACTGTCTCAAGAGAAAATAAAAACAAAAATAAATAAATTAAAGAAGGAATCAAGGAATAGTTAACTATGGTATATTCATTGATAAACTCACTAAAATAATGTTTATGAAGAAGCTTGTTATATCATGGAAGAAATGCTTGTTATAATGCTATGTAATAAAAAGACTATGCTTATGTATACAATGTGACCTTAAACATGTAAAAAAAAATGCACAGAAAAAAAGACTTGGAGGAGGTGCAGCAAAATGAAAGTTGGCAGTGGAATCTTTTTCTTTATATTCTGTTACATTTTCAAAGTTGTCTACAGTGAGCTCATATTAACTTTCATAGCCAAAAAGTAATTGCATAAATGTGTGATTTATTCTCACAGCCATAAACAATACTGCTTACTGATTTTTGGTATTTTGAGAGTGTCACATTTGCAGTCTGCAATGAATGGGAGGCCTCAGGCACATCAGTTGACTGGACAGGTAGGTGATAAGAACTCCAAGACACAGGCACTCAGTGCCCTAAATTGGGCAGCATCTGTGGCACATGCCATTGTGGGAGAGAGGGATCTCCTGGTGTGAGACCCTAGTCGGGGAGACAGAGGCCTGGCGTCCAGGCTGCCACAGAGGCCAGCGGCGCCAGCTTCAAGAGGAACAAGGCACGCTGCCTGCAAACTGTGAGCCTACTCACAGCACAGGCGCCACAGGCTGCTCAGCTCACCCTGGGCACACTGCCAAGTGGTGGATATGGTGTTGTTCAGATATAATTTGGAAAAGTGAGGGTGTGTCTAAAAGAGGGTGACCAGGGTAGTGAGCAGGAGAGCTGACAGGGCAGGGCTTCTGATCCTCTAAGAGCAGGTGGGGGATGGTCTCCAGACAGCTAAGTGTCAAAGTTAGACCTGACCTATGTGGCTCTAGGAACTAGGAGAGAGTGACAGTAAGGAGGCTGTGTGCCCAACAGAGGGAAGCTGAGACAGCCAGCTCCACGGCCTTCACCCTGCTGGGGCCCAGGCAGAGGTTGACTGTCCTCTCTGCAGGTTACAGACAGGGTCCTTGCATTCCCTGCCCTATCACAGAGGAGAATGCACAGAATATGGAGAAGCATGCTTTTCTTTTTTTTGAGACAGAGTCTCACTCTGTCGCCAGGCACCAGGCTTGAGTGCAGTGGTGCTATCTCGGCTCACTGCAACCTCTGCCTCCCGTTCAAGCAATTCTCCTGCCTCAGCCTCTCAAGTAGCTGGGACTACAGGCTCATGCCACCACACCCAGCTAACTTTTTTTGTATTTTTAGTAGAGACAAGGTTTCACCATGTTGGCCAGGACGGTCTCAATCTCTTGACCTCGTGATCCGCCCGCCTTGGACTCCCAAAGTACTGGGATTACAGGCAGCATGCTTTTCTTTTGTGTAAACTGCTGATTTAAAATACTGATTGCTATGGTCTGAATGGGTCCCCTCCAAAACTGAGGTGCGGCCAATGTGATGATATTAAGAGGTGGACCATTAAGAGATCAGGCCCTGAGGACTCTTCCCATCATGTGTGGGATGAAGGGATTTTCTTTCTTTTTTTTCAGAGTTTCGCGTTTCGTTTTTGCTGCCCAGGCTGGAGTGCAACGGCACGATCTTGGCTCACGGCAACCTCTGCCTCCCAGGTTCAAATGATTCTCCTGCCTCAGCCTCCTGAATAGCTGGGATTACAGGCATGCGCCACCACAACTGACTAATTTTTGTATTTTTAATAGAGATGGGGCTTCTCTATGTTGGTCAGGCTGGTCTTGAACTCCCGACCTCAGGTGATCCACCTGCCTCAGCTTCCCAAAGTGCTGGGATTACAGGCATGAGCCACTGTGCCCAGCTATAGGCTCTTTCAAAACAGGCTTCATGGAGCCTTTGGCTCTCTTGCCTTTCTGGCTTCCCCCAGGTGAGGGCACAGCGATCCTCCTCTTTGGAGGATGGAGCCTCTACCAGACAACTGAGCCTGGTGGTGCCTTGGTCATGGACTTCCCAGCCTCCAGAGCTGTGAGAAAACACATTTTGGTTCTGTAGAACTGGCCTTGTCTGAGGTATTTTATTAAAGCAGTGAAGCAGCACAAACGGCCTAAGACCCTGACCGCTGCCTGCCCTCCTCCCACCCCTTTTCTGGATTGCCACTCCCTATACAATGGGCTCCAGCGACCCCGGCTCACCTGAGGCAGTCATCTGGGCCAGGAACAGGAGGAAGAGAGAGGTGGCATCCACCTGGAGGTGGCCCCACTGGTCATCGCCCACCACTGTGCCACAGGTGGCAGTGTTGTACTTGGCATGCAGGCTGTCCTTGGTGCTCTGAGTGTGTTTGAACTTCTCCACTTTGGCCACCTAAGGGAAAGGCAAGCCCACTCTGCAGTTACCGGGGTTCATGGCTGGCAGAGGTCATGGCCAAGGCCAGCCACCTGGATCTAGAGCTCATATCTACCGCTTCTGGGAGGGAAGTCAGCTGCTAGGGGGCACCGCACAGAGGGGCTGTGCTGGTGATTCTTCTCGCCCACTCGCCTGAAATGTACCAGCCTGGGGAGAATCTCATCTGCAGGAGTGATGGGTCATGCCAAAGGGTGTCCTTGTCTACGTATCCCCAGCTGTGACACATGGTAGATACTCAAGGAGAGATGGAGGGAAGGTAAAAGAGAGAAAAAGAGGGGAGAAAAGGGACCTGTTTAAATTTCAACTTCTTGTTTCTTAATGTTGAAAGGTAAAGAGCTACTATGTTTTTGCTCATGCTGACTAAGGGTGGGGACTGTGTCATCTTCATCTTTGAATTTGTGGAGATCCTAGCATAATGTTCCATATACGGTACATGCTCAATGAACTGTTTTATTTACCTCTCACTGAAAATACCACTAAACAATAATATCAAGTTTTCAAAACTCAAGCATTTCATCTCAATGAAAATATACCTTTTATAAACATGATGGAATAAACAATACTGTATGGCTTTCTAGAAGCGCCTTTAAAAAAAAGTTATCTTCCCCATTTTAAAAAAAAGCATGTTCTCCTTTTACTCATGTAACTCTTCAAAAGAGATTCTCAGAAACTGTCCTTTGAGACTGTGGTTCAACAGCAAAGTTACTGAAAATAATTTTAGAAAGAGAAAGTAGCTGGGCATGGTAGCTCATGCCTGTAATCCCAGCATTTTGGGAGGCCAGGAGGCGGGCGAATCACTTGCATCCAGGTGTTTAAGACCAGCCTGGGCAACATAGTGAGGTGTTGTAACTACAAAAAATAAAAAATAAAAATTAGCCAGGTGTGGTGGTACACACCTGTAGTCCCAGCTACTTAGGAGGCTGAGGTGGAAGAACCACTTGAGCTTAGGAGTTTGAGGTTGCAGTGAGCTGTGATCACACCACTGTACTCAGCCTGGGTGACAGTGTGAGACCCTGTCTCAAAAAAAAAAAAAAAAAAAAAAAAAAAGAGAGAAAGTAAGCTAAATATTTTCAATTTCTCTTCCTCTTGAGAAGAAAAGTAAAAGACATCTTAAGCATGTTAACTGTCACGATTACAATGACATGGAATGCCCATTTGGCAAGCATGTGTGTGCGTTCTGCCTACCTGTCTCATCATGCACTGGAGAAGACCTCGCATCAGCTTCACCACATTCTGTGGAGATAAAGCAGAATCAGGAACAAGGCCCAGGGCCCTTGCTGCAGGAAAACCACCTCCTGACCACCGTGGCCGGCAAGCCAGGGCTGCCCAGCAATTCCCCTGGAAAGGCCAATCCTGAACCTATGTGAGTATTCTGATGGTTCATGTTCTCCCCACTCCATCACAAAGAAAGAAAAATCTGGACAAAGTGACTTACCTCACATAAAGGGGCCAGATCACATATTACCTGCCAGCTCTGAAATTCAGTGACTCCTCGCTGATACCTTAGCAACACAATTTTTGTAAGGCTAATACTCTGGTGCTTTATGTCACATTTTTTGGTAATGTTTTTTTGTTACACTGAGTCCACCACGCCTGCCCAAAAGTACTGTTTGCCCAAATGGCCATTTGTGAAACCATCACTGAATTACTGAGTAAAGCTCTAACAAAATGCAAGTGACAGCCAAGGTTTCTGAATAATCTGATTTACTGTAACCAATTACAAGTCTTATTCTCGTTATAAATAACAATAATAATGCTATGTTAATGAATGAGACACCATGCCAGATGATCCACTGACTGTGAGACCATCAAAGAAAAATCCCAAGAGCTCTCATGCCAAGAGAATGATTTTTATATTTCAGTGCTCCCTACTTCAATGCTACCCCTCAAAACACTTTTTGATAGGTGTCTTGGTTCTAGATTTTGGGCAACAATAAAAGGACTTCATTGCTGCAGGAAAACCACCTTCTCGTGGTGAATAATATAGGCTCCCAAACTGGATACACCAATTTGGTTCAAAATTAAAGGCTGACCATAAATTAATAAGATTGCTTTCCTGGAATGGCTCAAATTAGAAAGGTATTTTTAAGGGAAGTTTCAAAAATATTTTATGCAGCAGCAATGTTTGGATAAATATCCTTTCAATGTGACTACTCTGAAGAATACATGCTTTGGAATGTGAAGCTGTGGTGAGGTGACTTGTAAAAACATATCAGTTTATGATGACACCTCATGTATAAATATGCATAAAATGGATAAAGCACATATGGGAGAAATGTAACTAATTACGCAAATTGACACTTTGGGGTTAGAAATGTGGATTCGGCCAAGCACAGTGGCTCATGCCTGTAATTCCAGCATTTTGGGAGGCCGAGGTGGGCCAATCACCGGAGGCCAGGAGTTTGAGACCAGCCTGGCTAATGTGGTAAAACCCTGTCTCTACTAAAAATACAAAATAAGCTGGGCATGGTGGCAGGTGCCTGTAATCCCAGCTACTCGGGACGCTGAAGCAGGAGAATCACTTGAAACCGGGAGGTAGAGGTTGCAGTGAGCCACCGCTGCACTCTAGCCTGGAGAACAGAGTGAGACTTTGTCTCAAAAAAAAAAAAAAGAAGTGTGGACACCTTCATTTTCTATTTGCTGTGATTCTGGATGCTGTCATTGTTTTACAGGGGAATGTCCAATCTCAAACAGAAAGACAAATGTGAGGATGAGACCATCTAAGTGCCTCCCCAAAATATTCTAAAGCGGAAATGGAGGAGAGGCCTGCACCCAAACAGTTCTGCGCACACAGCTACTTCTCTGTAGGTTTTCCAGTTGAAGGACAAGGTGGCTGAGCAGCTGAGATACAGCCGTCAGTCACCATTACCTGCTCCAGCTCGTAGGCCTTAGCCTTGTCCTCATCGCGGTCTGCATTCTTGCGGTAGGCCATGCCCAGGCCCCACACGGCCAGGATACTGTAGATGTTATCCCGCACCCAGGCATCCTTCTGCTCATGGCTGGCTGACAGCAGCCCCGTGACGGGATTCTATTAGAGAAGAGACACAAAATGGCTCAGTGCCACCCTTCATGCAGTCCCTGGGTAACAGATGCTTGCCCTAACAGGGGAGATGAAGACCAGGACCTGGAGCAGAGAGACCAAAGTTCCAGTCCTTGATCTGCCACTAACAGTGTGATCTTGGGTGAGACATCACATTCCTTCTTGGCACCTCAGTTTCCTTACTTGTATCACGAGGATACGTGACTAGAAAATCTCTAAGGGCTGGGCGCGGTGGCTCACGGCTGTAATCCCAGCACTTTGGGAGGCCGAGGCGGGCAGATCACAAGGTCAGGAGTTCGAGACCAGGTTGGCCAGCATGGTGAAACCCCGTCTCTACTAAAAATACAAAAATTAGCCAGATGTGGTGGCACACACCTGTAATCCCAGCTACTCGGGAGGCTGAGGCAGGGGAATTGCTTGAACCTGGGAGGCAGAGGTTGCAGTGAACAGAGATCACACTACTGCACTCCAGCCTGGGTAAGACTCCATCTCAAAACAAAACAAAACAAAACAAAACAAAACAAAACAAAGAACATATCTAAGGAAGATTCCAGCTCTTCTGCTTTCAGACAAGACCACACTGTTGTAAGTGGTAAAACAGAAGAAACATCAAACAAAAAGCCTGCGAGGCTTTCACAAAGTGGCATATTGCAGACTTTAGGTCTTCTTCAGCCTTCATGTGTCCATATCAATAGGTAAAGCACTGACCCTGAGAGCAAGAAGCCTGGAGGCAGGACCCCACTCCACTCTCTAGCTCTGTGTGCCAGGGAAGCGACGTTCCCTCTCTGGGGAATCCAGACCTTCATGTGCCTAAAGAGAAGGTACCAAGCAAGAGGACATCTGGAAGTCCTATTTAGCTATGATATCATGGGCATTTAAAAGGGCAACTGAGTCACTAAAAAGCCAGACCTTGCCACACAAAATTACACACAAATGTTCACAGCAGCATTGTTCATAAAAGCCATAAAGTGGAAATAAGCCAAATACACATTAACTGATACATGGATAAATGAAATGTGATCTATACAAACAATGAAATATTATTTGGCAGAAAAAGGAAGTACTGATGCATGCTACCACAGGGATGGACCTTGAAGACATCATGCTAAGTGAAAGAAGCCAGATGCCAAAGGCCACATATTGTGTGACTCCATGTGTATGAAATGTCCAGAAAAGGCAAGGCTATAGAGATAGAGAGTAGATTAGTGGTGGACTGTGCTGGGAGTAGAGGTAGAATCTGGGAGTCAGTGGCTGCTAGTGGTTTTTGTTTTTTTAGGTGATGAAAATGCTCAAAAATGGATTGTGGTGACGAATGCGCAAATCTGTGAATATGCCAAAAACCATTCAGCTGTACAGCTTAAATAGGTGAATTGTATGGTAAGTAAATAAAGCTATTAACTTTTTAAAAGGCAGTCCCAATAAACTCTGCCTAGAAATCAGATAAAAGAGTCATATAATGATAACCCTTCTGTTGACATTTCCTGAAAATTTGTACTTACCTAATAAAATGTATCATAATAATCAGAACCTTGTAGGCTTAAAAATTACATTACTCAAAAGGGTACCATATTATTTACAAGAGAGCTCATGAAAACACTCCACTGGGTACTTTCATAATGATACTGCCGATATTAGGTAAAAAACACTGGCATGGTTTCACATGTTCCCACCTAAGAAATTAAATATTTGATTTTCTCCCCTAACAAATCTACGCCCTCTACCAAAACATCTAAAACTCAACTGATATTACCCGCAGGGGCAACAGCATTCAATGTATTGACATGGTTCTATAGCTAACAACTATGAATTACTGATTTAAAGTAAACCAGAACTGAAGTCTAGGAATGGCTGAGTGCAAGTACAAATCTTATTCCAGTAGTAGACTAATGGTGCTCTTTTTAAAAAGTACTATTCACCAATAACATATAACATAAGCATCTTGGCCTGGTGCGGTGGCTCACGCCTATAATCCCAGCAGTCTGGGAGACTGAGGCGGGTGGATCACTTGAGGACAGGAGTTTGAGACCAAATTAGCTGGGCGTGGTGGCATATGCCTGTAATCCCAGCTACTCAGGAGGCTGAGACATGAGAATCACTTGAACCCAGGAGGCAGAGGTTGCAGTGAGCCAAGATTGTACCACTGCACTCCAGCCTGGGTGACAAAGAATGTGACTCTGTCTCAAAAACAACAACAACATAAGCATCTTTATCTGTTCTGAGGCTTGCTAGGTAAGCCAGGGACAGGGAAACAGGAGACCCAGAGTAAGAAACTCAACCCATTTATGGTGTGCCTGCCAACCATGTGCCTATTGAAACAAACAACCTTCCGGTGACACAGCAGTGATCGCTCACATAGTGCCAAGTGTGGTTTGGATTATGAAATATCCCTGTCCTGTTAACTGAAAGTCATCTCTCTTATTCTTTAGACTGCGCTTAACTGTTGGAGTAGATTAGTTTATCCTCACCCAAAGGTATGTTGTCTGTCCCCCTCATTCAACTACAGAGAAGCAGTCTGAGTGTTTCAGGGGATCTCCACACTCAGAAGCAGACATACACCAACCATGTAAAATTAGGGTGTTACTTTACTCAGCAATAAGAATATTTACTTTTTGACTTGCTTCTCGTGTTAAGTCTATAAAAGCCAATCCTCTGTATTGGAAGGAGATGTAGGTGGTTCCATTTTGATGTGATTCATAAAAACTGAAATGACCACAGATTGACAGATACTTCTGTTCTGCTGTCCCTTCTAATAGGGATGACCCAGTGGTTTTGTCTTTGAGTCATTCTCCTGCCTGGAGATGGACTATGCTGCCATATCTGTACTCTCACTCACTGATGCTTGGGAACCACCTACACAGGTCCATCTCTTTGGAGCTCCGGAGTCTTTCCTTTACTTTAAGTATGGTGATGGAGGAGGGAACAAGAAGCTGCCCTGTCTGATCCATTCTGGAAGCTAAACACAAACACAGGCAAAGACAGACTACAGGAGGTCAGTAGGGAGATTTGTCCAAGCCAAACCTATGGTTTCAGATATGATCATTTTAACCATTGTTGCTTTCCAATCTCTGAAAAACATTATTTAGCTATATCTGCACCCACACATAGCATTGCAGAAATATATAACCATAATCAGATAGATGTATCTTTTTCAGTTGTCTTTCTTCCTTCTCTTTTTTCGCTTGGTTCCCTCCTCCCCTCACCAATCCCATAAACACAGTCCATGTAACAACCTCATATATACATTTTTTCCACATTTTCTCCTATGTGTTACTAAAACCAGATTTTATACACACACACACACACACACACACACAATTGTATACCTTAAGGTGAAGTCTATACACACACACACACACACACACACACACACACACACACACACACACATATACATACATATAATTAAAATTCCTGTTCATGCACAGGTTTTCTTTTGGTGCAATCTCGCCTCACTGCAAACCCCGCCTCACGGGTTCAAGCGATTCTCCTGCCTCAGCCTCCCAAGTAGCTGGGATTACAGGTGTGCGCCACCATGCCTGGCTAATTTTTGTATTTTCAGTAGAGACAGGGTTTCACCATGTTGGCCAGGCTGGTCTCAAACTCTTGACCTCAGGTGATCCGCCCACCTCGGCCTCCCAAAGTTCTGGGATTACAGGTGTGAGCCACCGTGCCCGGCCAGGGCAACTGTTTTTAATGAGCATGATAGTGGGATCAAATGATACATACTGCTGCACCCTGCATTTCTCTTTCAATAGAACCTTATGAGGTCCCTCCAAGTGATCTGGCATAATTCAAACTCACGAGTTTCAGAGGCTGCATCACATTCCAGAGGATACCTGTAACAACAGGTTTTCATTTGTTTTCTGGGATTTTTTTTTTATTTGGCAATACAAAGACTGCAATAAATATCCTTATATATTCAACAGTGCTTTTATTTCCATGAAACAGAATCCCCAAAATGTGAATGCTGGATTGGCATGTAATATGCATACATACTTTAAATTTTAATAGTTATTCCCCATCTCTGCCACAAGTTATCAATAGTTTTTTTTGTCAGTCTGATGGGTGTAAAGTGGTATCTCATAACCATTTTTATTTTATTTATTTATTTATTTATTGTTTTGAGATGGAGTCTCGCTCTTGTTGCCCAGGCTGGAGTGCAATCTCGGTTCATCGCAACCTCCGCCTCCCCGGTTCAAGTGATTCCCTTGCCTCAGCCTCCCGAGTAACTGGGATTACAGGTGCCCACTACCACGCCCAGCTAATTTTTTGTATTTTTAGTAGAGACGAGGTTTCATTATGTTAGTCAGGCTAGTCTCAAACTCCTGACCTCAGGCAATCCACCCGCCTCTGCCTCCCAAAGTGCTGGGATTACAGGCGTGAGGCACCGCACCCGGCCAACCATTTTTATTTTAAAAATTTTTATTTCCCTGACTACCTATGAATTTAACCATCCAGTCATTCTTGTCTGGGAGGGAAGGGCACTGGATTTGCTCTTTGGTGAGCTGATCAATTTTTAGTTTCTTTTTTTGTGTGTGTGATGGGAGTCTTGCTTTGTCACCCAAGCTGGAGTGCAATGGCACGATCTCGGCTCACTGAAACCTCTGCCTCCGGGGTTCAAGCGATTCTCCTGCCTCAGTCACCTCAGTTGCTGGGATTACAGGTGCATGCCACCACACCCAGCTAATTTTTGTACTTTTAGTAGAGACAGGGTTTCCCCATGTTGGCCTGGCTGTTTGCTATCGAATTCCTGACCTCAAGTGATCCACCCCACCTTGGCCTCCCAAAGTGCTGGGGATTATAGGCGTGAACCACCGGATCTGGCATAGTTTCTTTTTAAACCAGGTACTATGTCACCATTTCTACCTACAAAGAAAGACAACCCTCCATGTATTGTGTTTAAGAGCAAGCTGGAATCAAACTGCCCATGTCCAAAGCTCTACCACCATCCAGCTGTGACCTTGAGCAAATAACTTCAGTGTCCACCT